GTGTCGCAGCAATTTAGTACAACCAATATCAAATTTGTGTTGACTAAAAACGTCGGCAAATTCGTTCAAGAGAACTCGCAGCTGCGCACGCTGCGAGTCAGACAGGTCCACTGATCCCGCGCAAAGCGCATCCAGCCATCCATCATCACAGTCCGAATGCGGTCGCGACGGAGGATCGGTGCTTACCTGACCCACGAGTGGTTCCTCATAGGGTACCGGCGTTGCGTGTGCAAGCACGGTCCCTTGAGGAACCACGGCCGTTCGCGATCCAACATTAAGGACTGCAATGAAGGGGTCCCCATCCCCTTTCACCATGGTCTGAGCCGCTAGCAAATCGGGTCCATTGACCCTGGCCCGAGATGGTCCCAACAAGACCCCCCGATCCGCAACCCCTTCCGCAAACGGCCGACGCAACCTAAGAGGGACGAGCATCTGAGCCCCCGGGGGTACGCGCACAGTGTTTGTCACGAGCGCCTGCACGGTGGCAAATGCCCGACGCTCCGTGGTGGGGGAAGACAAAAATGTAACACGTTGGCCCGACGGGAGCTCGATGCACCCCTGGTCAATCAAGATACGAATGGGCATTTTGGCCAAGAAATCCGTCCCCAACAGGCACGAAACCGCGAGTGAGGAGGAAACCAAAACAGGCCCGGATAATTTAATGTCTCCAATGCAAATTTTGGCGCGGATTTGCCCAATAATGCCCAGCGAGCCCCCGTTAGCGGCATAGCATGGCACGTCAACGGGGAGCAAGGGACGACTTTGAACGGGAAGGATGTTATAAATCAAATCAGAGATAATGGTCGCCGATGCCCCTGTGTCAATTAAAATCCGCACCTCTACCCCATCAATATGACCGACCACGACCGACGATCCCGCCGACGCTGCAACGACACGATGGGCGAGCGCCGACCACTGACCCGGTTGGAGCGCTCGCCGCATTTCAGAACAATCCGACGCAACGGCCGTCGATTTTTGAACCCTGTCCATTTTAGCGCGCGAGTGTGTGTCGGATGTGTGCACGGGCCAAACGTGTGAGGTGCCACGACTCGCCGTATTTCTCTGCTGGAGCTTGGGTGGGGACGGCGCGGCGTCCTGACGAGGTGTCGCCCCGCGCTGACGGGGAGCCCGGCACCCTGACGCAACGTGGCCTTGAAGGCCACAGTTGTAGCACCGTGTGAGCGCCCCAGATGGCCTGGGCTGCTCCTGGCGGCTCGGTCCGGTCCGAGCCTGTGGTGCCGCCGATCTCCATTCCCCCCGCCGCTCCACCCCGCAGACCTCCTCCGGTGGGAGGGTGGTGGCCGCCATGGCATGGCTGGTCACCCCCTTGGCGGCCTTGCGACACAGGGACCGCAAGCCCCCGTGGATGTGGCGCGCGACCAGCAAGGACGACATCTCTGCGTCGTCTTGAGCCAAGACGGTGACGTCCAGCTCATCAGCGAGTAGTAGCAGCTTTTCAGCCACCATGGCGTCCACTCCCTCCTCGTCCATCCGCGGGAAAGCTGCCTTTGCCATGGCCAGGAGAGCCGTCCGGAAGGCCAGGGGCGATTCGTTGGCGCCCCGATGGCGATCGTGGAATAGCTGCCTGCAGTCCGAAGGCGGACCATAGACAGCTGACAGCAGCTGCAACGCCAAGTGCAGCGTGGCGCGCTTTTCCTTAGGCGCCGAGGTGAGAGTAGCCAGGGCGTCGTTGTCCAGCATCGCCGGCAGCGCGCGTAGTGCTTCGGCGTCCGTCCAGTTCGCCATCTCCTGATGAGCGATGAACCGTCTTCTGAAGCCGCCCCAGTCTCCGTCCGCGCCCACGAATTCTTTGAGAGGCGGCAGACGCTGCTGTAACGCGACGTCCGTGGCTGCGGATCGCGCTCCGTCGTTCCCAGCAGATGTTACAGTGTGGGCGGGCTGCGAGCATGGCATCGCCGGTCGCTCCGTTGTTGACGCGCTGGCCGGTGTTGATGATGTCACGGCTTGTGCTTGGCGCTCAGCAGTCACCTGACGCGGGCCGGCCCCGCCCTCTGCTCGCACTGTAGTGATGGCGGGAAATTTAACCGCGAGCCGCGTCGGGGTGGCGGGAAACGTCGCCGCGCGTCGGCTGCTGTCGTCGTCCCGCGCAGCCCCCCCGGCCCCCAGCCGCGTGATCTCCTCCAACGCGGCAGCCGCGGCGTAGAGCAGCTCCGCCAGGCGGGAGTGAGCCAGCCGGAGTCCCTCGGCCGACGCATCCCCCCCTTCCTGTCGTAGCAGCGCGGGTGTACTCGGCCCCGGCTGCTCCGATCCGACCCCGGCCATCTCCGGTGGTGATTCGGCCGTGGTGTCTTCTATCTCCGACTCCCTGGTACGTGTCGTCCCTCGTGTGTCCATCGTTGAACGTTTTACTTCTGACGCCAGATGTAGTAAGTATTTAGGAGGCTTGACGACAGGGTCGGAGGCAAACTTATTTATTACACCAACTTGTGCACAGTAACGGGTACACACAGTACTTAAGGGGGTATCGTCCCCGTCACTTGGCTACAGGGATACACAACACCTAACCCCGCTAACCTACGCCCAAGTCCTCCACTACGGAGCTAGGGGAGGCTACCTATCCCAGCCCTGGTCAAGCTGGGATCCTGGCACCCTGAGTCTCCAGACCGGCTCATCAGTCTGGGCTCTCGGGGCCATGCCACCGGCTTGCCCTGGTCGGCCCTGATAAGGACAGCGAGCCAGGGGAGCTCTGGGGCCTATTCTAGCTGGTCTTCCGTCTTCGCTGGTTAAAGCTGATCTCGACCTCGAGCCCTCCGGCTCACCACCTTTTATAGGACTCGGCCCCCGGGAGGGGCCCGTGGGGGATGCAGGTGCGGACGTCGGTGTGAGCACCTCCCCTGTGTATGGCCCTAACCCCGCTCCTTGTGTTTGTTAGCCATCCGTGGCCATGCACAATTACACCTCTACCTCCGTGGCCATGCACAATTACACCTCTACACCTGTATAAAAGACACCTGTTCACATAAGCAATCAATCAATCAGATTCCAAACTCTCCACCATGGCCAAGACCAAAGAGCTCTCCAAGGATGTCAGGGACAAGATTGTAGACCTACACAAGGCTGGAATGGGCTACAAGACCATCGCCAAGCAGCTTGGTGAGAAGGTGACAACAGTTGGTGCGATTATTCGCAAATGGGAGAAACACAAAAGAACTGTCAATCTCCCTTGCCTTGCGGCTCCATGCAAGATCTCACCTCGTGGAATTGCAATGATCATGAGAACTACACGGGAGGATCTTGTCAATGATCTCAAGGCAGCTGGGACCATAGTCCCCAAGAAAAAGGTTGGTAACACACTACGCCGTGAAGGACTGAAATACTGCAGCACCCGCAAGGTCCCCCTGCTCAAGAAAGCACATATACATGCCCGTCTGAAGTTTGCCAATGAACATCTGAATGATTCAGAGGACAACAGGGTGAAAGTGTTGTGGTCAGATGAGACCAAAATGGAGCTCTTTGGCATCAACTCAACTCGCCGTGTTTGGATGGGGAGGAGTGCTGCCTATGACTACAAGAACACCATCCCCACCGTCAAACATGGAGGTGGAAACATGCTTTGGGGGTGTTTTTCTGCTAAGGGGACAGGACAACTTCACCGCATCAAAGGGACGATGGACGGGGGCATGTACCGTCAAATCTTTGGTGAGAACCTCTTTCCCTCAGCCAGGGCATTGAAAATGGGTCGTGGATGGGTATTCCAGCATGACTGACCCAAAACACACGGCCAAGGCAACAAAGGAGTGGCTCAAGAAGAAGCACATTAAGGTCCTGGAGTGGCCTAGCCAGTCTCCAGACCTTAATCCCATAGAAAATCTGTGGAGGGAGCTGAAGGTTCGAGTTGCCAAACGTCAGCCTCGAAACCTTAATGACTTGGAGAAGATCTGCAAAGAGGAGTGGGACAAAATCCCTCCTGAGATGTGTGCAAACCTGGTGGCCAACTACAAGAAACGTCTGACCTCTGTGATTGCCAACAAGGGTTTTGCCACCAAGTACTAAGTCATGTTTTGCAGAGGGGTCAAATACTTATTTTCCTCATTAAAATGCAAATCAATTTATAACATTTTTGACATGCGTTTTTCTGGATTTTGTTGTTGTTATTCTGTCTCTCACTGTTCAAATAAACCTACCATTAAAATTATAGACTGATCATTTCTTTGTCAGTGGGCAAACGTACAAAATCAGCAGGGGATCAAATACTTTTTTCCCTCACTGTAGCGACCCACAGAGATACATAGCGACCCACATAGATACATAGCGACCCACAGAGATACATCGCGACCCATAGGATTATAATCATTGACACAGGCCCAGAGATACAAAAAGTCTCATAGATATACATGACAGACAAGCCACGGTCGTGCGATTGTGGCCATGCAACCCAAACGATGGACCATTTAGTAAACCCATGAAGACAGAGATATATCGAGGCTCGTTGAGATAAAAGAGATACATTAAAGACAAGCCACATGAGTGTGATTGTGGCTAAGCAACCCAAACAATGTACCACATGGTAAACCACTGTGGTCTACGCTTCTTCAATGGAGGATGAACAACAAAACCACAAACTCTCCTGAAGCCCTCTCTTCATAGCTAACATACATTTCCATATGCAAGAATAGAACAACAATAACTAACAGATATTTTTTTCATACAGATTAAATGTTGCGAAGCAATTGTAAATCGCTGTCTTAATTCTGAATGAGATAGTTATCGTTTTATTCCACACAGTCCTAAGAGTGAACACAGCAGGGCACGATCGCTTTGCTGCTCCGTAGTCGCACGTCGGAGATGATTTAATCGTTCGTTTATGGAACAGTTGTGCCCGCACCCTCCCTTCGATCCGTGTGGATGTGGTTCACAGTGGAGCATTGTTCGCACAGTGGGAGGCGGGCCCCCGGAGTTTTGACGGAATGGGTCTTCGATTAAGTACTTGCATTTGGCGGTAGAGTGAGAGGCAAACCCCTTCATAGGTGTACGCAAACCTTTATGGGCTGCACCAGACACAGGGAGACACTGATTGACGTCAGGAAGCACACAAGCCAGCGGTTGGCCCCCACTCCATGCTCTAGAGGACGGTGAAGAAGCTGCCCATCACAATGACGAGGAAGAGTTCCTGCCAGTGGGTGCGCACACACATATGCACAAACACATGCACGCGGTCATTAATGACTGCACAAAACCACGACAATCACTTAAATTAATTGAAATTCTAGCTCTTGGAATTTCAAAATATATAAAGGTGGGACTCTTACGTGATGAACGTTACTCTATGTGGTAGAGCGGGTGGGAGAGTTCTGCACTCTGCTGTGTGGACCAAAGGTCAAGTGAAGCAATTCTCAGAGGTTGCGCTGTGATATCCGCCTTGCTAGGCACGCTGAGGAGAGGCTTGCGGAACCCCAATGCGGTTTCAGAAAAGGGCGGTCCTGCACGGATGCCATATTTTCTGTCCGTCTGCTACAGCAGAGGTGTAGGGAATTCCCACAAGACCTACATCTCTGCTTTATTGACCTGGTCAAGGCCTATGATATCATCAGTAGGCCTGGGCTCTGGGTTGTTCTTCATGCTTTCGGAGTCCCTGACCCTCTGCTCACGATCATTAAGGACCTTCATGATAGTGAGCGGGCCCGGGTAAAACTACGTGGCCGAGAGTCGGAGCCTTTCCCTGTACACCTTGGGGTGCGACAGGGATGTCCTCTGGCTCCCACATTATTTAACATCTATTTCGACTGCGTAGTTCGTGAAGCCTTCAATAGCTGTACCGGGGGAATTTCCATTTGGTACAGATATAATGGGAGGCTGATCGACGCCCGGGTGCGATCAAGGGATGGCTCCCTATTGGTCAACCACGTTATGTATGCCGATGATTTGGTAATAGCTGCTCATTCAGAAGAGGAGTTGGAGACGTTGCTGCTGAGACTGGAGCGTGTCACTAAGAGATGGGGCCTTACCATCAGCCCCACCAAAAATATGCACCTGCCTGGGTATTTTGTACCATCGGACACTCCACCCCCACAACTCCCAATCGGTGATGGGGCAGTTGTGGAGAGAGTGGAGAGTTTCCCATACCTGGGCAGTGTGCTTATGACCGGCTCCAGTTTATCAACAGAGGTCTCACTCCGAATCAGTCGAGCGGCAATATCTTTTCATCGGTTGCGTAACGCTTTGTGGAAGCTACCTGGTCTGTCGCTCTGCACGAAGCTTCAGGTCTTCTCGGCCACGGTCATTCCCTCCCTTCTCTACGCTTGCGAAACGTGGACCCCCCCTAAAGGAGCATCTTCGCCGGTTGGAAACATTTAGGCTGGCCTGCCTACGATCCATCCTGGGTTTAACCAGGCTGGATTGTGTGAGGAGCTCACAAATCCTTGAAAGATCTGGGCAAAGTCCCATCAAATTTCGATTTAAAGCTTTTGTGACTGCAGGGATTCATCTTCTTGGTTCTTTCGGTAAAGTCACGTAGAAGGGAAGTAATAAAATAATAAAAATAAAACATAATAAAATTATTCTCACGACGTTTCGGCCACAACGCAAGCAGCCGTCCTCAGGTGAAAACCAGGTCCGTCGAGGCGACAGAGTCTGAATGAAACAGCACACGAGCTTGGAGCATATATATAAGCTGGGCGCCTTGACAAAGGAATTTGCATATCAAGAGGAAGTTAGCATATTTATGGGAAATGCAGGAATGTGATTAGTACTACATATGCATGTGCATTATGCAGGATTAATAGCATCAAAGGGAGCTGCAGTTGCTGCAGTTGCTGCTGCTGCTGCAGTTGCTGCTGCTGCTGCAGTTGCTGCTGCTGCTGCAGTTGCTGCTGCTGCTGCAGTTGCTGCTGCTGCAGTTGCTGCTGCTGCTGCAGTTTCTGCTGCTGCTGCAGTTTCTGCTGCTGCTGCAGTTGCTGCTGCTGCAGTTGCTGCTGCTGCAGTTGCTGCCTTATCCATTTTAATATAACACTATGTATTATTCTACCCACCCTAATGTGTATCACACTGCTATATATTTACTATACAATTACGACACCATACATTACTCTGCACACTGCACCATGCCAGTGAGTGGAACGCGGTCTGAAAGTCACCGGAAACGTGAACACAATCAGTTAAGATCCGAAATGGTTTATTACGTCCTTCCAATGATTGCTAAGCCAGAATCCATCTTCTCGGTTGAAATTGTCTCTGTGTTTGTATATGTGAATCGCCTCATGAACGAATCTCTCATGATAGCCAGATGGCTTGCAGAGAACCTCTGTCTTGGAGAAGTCAATGTCATGTGAGCCCACTGAATTGTAACAGTGATCTGCCACGGCTGAGGTGTTTGTCCTACCGTGTTTCAGGTCTGCTTTATGTTCACGGATGCGGTCCGAGACATGTCGTTTGGTTTCTCCAATGTAACTGCTACCACAGAGGCAACTTAGTTTGTAGACGCCAGGGTACTGTATGTCTGGAACCACATCTTTTACAGACGGGACCAGATCACGGATTTTATGTACTGTGTTGAATCGGACCTGGATCTTGTGTTTAATCAGGATTTTCGAGATCTTTTTTGTGACCCCAGCAATGTAGGGTAAGGTGATGGTCTTGAAAGGCTCCTCAACAGGATCCTGCTTGATGGTTGGAGTGATGGCCTTGCGGATTGTGTAGTCGGAGTAACCATTAGCCTTAAGAGCTTGGCGTACGTGTTTGAGTTCACTGCCAATGTGTTCCTGGTCGGAAATGCATTGGGCTCTATGGTATAGAGTCTTGATAGCAGTTACATTGGAGAAACCAAACGATATGTCTCGGACCGCATAAAAAAGCAGACCTGAAACACGGTAGGACAAACACCTCAGCCGTGGCCGATCACTGTTACAATTCAGTGGGCTCACATGACATTGACTTCTCCAAGACAGAGGTTCTCTGCAAGCCATCTGGCTATCATGAGAGATTCGTTCATGAGGCGATCCACATATACAAACACAGAGACAATTTCAACCGAGAAGATGGATTCTGGCTTAGCAATCATTGGAAGGACGTAATAAACCATTTCGGATCTTAACTGATTGTGTTCACGTTTCCGGTGACTTTCAGACCGCGTTCCACTCACTGGCATGGTGCAGTGTGCAGAGTAATGTATGGTGTCGTAATTGTATAGTAAATATATAGCAGTGTGATACACATTAGGGTGGGTAGAATAATACATCTATACTAGCTGTACTACCCGGCTTCGCCCGGGACTTGTATCCACCACGGCCGGCCGCCTTTGTCTCCCCAGTGGCGATGTTAATACGCCACACCAGTTACTCGTTTGAGGCTGAGTCGACCTATGTGAGGTTCAAATAATCTTGATCGGTGGTGGCCATGAGCGGGAATCTAACTCGGTTCGCCGGGTTGGTAGCGCAGCGTAGCGTTAACCACTACACCCACCGCTCCTCACACACACAGACGCACACACACACAGACACACGCAGAAACACACAGACAGACACAGACAGACACAAAGACAGCACGCTAACCACTACACTACCGCTCCCCACACACCACACACGCAGACACACACACAGAACACACACACAGACAGACACACACACACAGACACACAGACAGCACGCTAACCACTACACTACCGCTCCCCACACACCACACACGCACACACACAGACACACACACAGACACACACACACAGACACACACACACAGACACACACACAGACACACACACACAGACACACACACACACAGACACACACAGGCAGCACGCTAAGCACTACACTACCGTTCCTCCTACACACCACGCACGCACACACACAGACACACACACACAGACACACACACACAGACACACACACACAGACACACACACACAGACACACACACACAGACACACACACACAGACACACACACACACATAGACACAGGCAGTACGCTAAGCACTACACTACCGTTCCCCCTACACAACACACGCGCGCGCGTCCATAGGTACACATACACGCGCTTGCTGCAGACACACACATACACACACATACATAACCGCACATACACACAAACACATACACACACATGCATACACACAAACATACACATACATACAAACACACACATACATACACACAAACACATACACAATACACACACACATACATACAGACACACACATACATACACACAAACACATACAGACACATACATACACACATACATACAGACACACAGACATACACATAAACACATACACACATAGTCATGACCCGGCTTTGCCCGGGACTTGTATCCACCACGCCCGGCCGCCTTTGTCTCCCCAGTGGCGATGTTAATACGCCACACCAGTTACTCGTTTTGAGGCTGAGTCCCTCCCTCGCCACTCTGCCTCCCTCGCCACTCTGCCTCCCTCGCCACTCTGTAGAGGACGTGAAATTTGTATGAATTTACCTCAGAGTGGCGTGTTGGGTGTCGAGGCCTAGCACCGTGCAGAGCCTCCCGCCTTGCCTGATTTTCGCACCCGGCGAACGCTGGGTACGGGTGCCGGTCCCCCCCCCCCCCCCCGCGCTATTAAAAATGGCGTCCACCCCGCGGAGAAAAGTTGCTACTCGTTGCCAGGGGCAACCGCCGTCCAATGAAAGCGGCGAAGGCGTGGCTAGCCGTTGCCAGGGGCAACCGCCGTCCAATGAAAGTGCAGTCCACACACACACACACACAGACACACAGACATGAACGATTTTATATATATAGACTAGCTGTACTACCCGGCTTCGCCCGGGACTTGTATCCACCACGGCCGGCCGCCTTTGTCTCCCCAGTGGCGATGTTAATACGCCACACCAGTTACTCGTTTGAGGCTGAGTCGACCTATGTGAGGTTCAAATAATCTTGATCGGTGGTGGCCATGAGCGGGAATCTAACTCGGTTCGCCGGGTTGGTAGCGCAGCGTAGCGTTAACCACTACACCCACCGCTCCTCACACACACAGACGCACACACACACAGACACACGCAGAAACACACAGACAGACACAGACAGACACAAAGACAGCACGCTAACCACTACACTACCGCTCCCCACACACCACACACGCAGACACACACACAGAACACACACACAGACAGACACACACACACAGACACACAGACAGCACGCTAACCACTACACTACCGCTCCCCACACACCACACACGCACACACACAGACACACACACAGACACACACACACACAGGCAGCACGCTAAGCACTACACTACCGTTCCTCCTACACACCACACACGCACACACACAGACACACACACACAGACACACACACACAGACACACACACACAGACACACACACACAGACACACACACACAGACACACACACACAGACACACACACAGACACACACACACAGACACACACACACACACATAGACACAGGCAGTACGCTAAGCACTACACTACCGTTCCCCCTACACAACACACGCGCGCGCGTCCATAGGTACACATACACGCGCTTGCTGCAGACACACACATACACACACATACATAACCGCACATACACACAAACACATACACACACATGCATACACACAAACATACACATACATACAAACACACACATACATACACACAAACACATACACAATACACACACACATACATACAGACACACACATACATACACACAAACACATACAGACACATACATACACACATACATACAGACACACAGACATACACATAAACACATACACACATAGTCATGACCCGGCTTTGCCCGGGACTTGTATCCACCACGCCCGGCCGCCTTTGTCTCCCCAGTGGCGATGTTAATACGCCACACCAGTTACTCGTTTTGAGGCTGAGTCCCTCCCTCGCCACTCTGCCTCCCTCGCCACTCTGCCTCCCTCGCCACTCTGTAGAGGACGTGAAATTTGTATGAATTTACCTCAGAGTGGCGTGTTGGGTGTCGAGGCCTAGCACCGTGCAGAGCCTCCCGCCTTGCCTGATTTTCCCACCCGGCGAACGCTGGGTACGGGTGCCGGTCCCCCCCCCCCCCCCCCCGCGCTATTAAAAATGGCGTCCACCCCGCGGAGAAAAGTTGCTACTCGTTGCCAGGGGCAACCGCCGTCCAATGAAAGCGGCGAAGGCGTGGCTAGCCGTTGCCAGGGGCAACCGCCGTCCAATGAAAGTGCAGTCCACACACACACACACAGACACACAGACATGAACGATTTTATATATATAGATCGTTCATGTCTGTGTGTCTGTGTGTGTGTGTGTGGACTGCACTTTCATTGGACGGCGGTTGCCCCTGGCAACGGCTAGCCACGCCTTCGCCGCTTTCATTGGACGGCGGTTGCCCCTGGCAACGAGTAGCAACTTTTCTCCGCGGGGTGGACGCCATTTTTAATAGCGCGGGGGGGGGGGGGGGGGGGACCGGCACCCGTACCCAGCGTTCGCCGGGTGCGAAAATCAGGCAAGGCGGGAGGCTCTGCACGGTGCTAGGCCTCGACACCCAACACGCCACTCTGAGGTAAATTCATACAAATTTCACGTCCTCTACAGAGTGGCGAGGGAGGCAGAGTGGCGAGGGAGGCAGAGTGGCGAGGGAGGGACTCAGCCTCAAAACGAGTAACTGGTGTGGCGTATTAACATCGCCACTGGGGAGACAAAGGCGGCCGGGCGTGGTGGATACAAGTCCCGGGCAAAGCCGGGTCATGACTATGTGTGTATGTGTTTATGTGTATGTCTGTGTGTCTGTATGTATGTGTGTATGTATGTGTCTGTATGTGTTTGTGTGTATGTATGTGTGTGTCTGTATGTATGTGTGTGTGTATTGTGTATGTGTTTGTGTGTATGTATGTGTGTGTTTGTATGTATGTGTATGTTTGTGTGTATGCATGTGTGTGTATGTGTTTGTGTGTATGTGCGGTTATGTATGTGTGTGTATGTGTGTGTCTGCAGCAAGCGCGTGTATGTGTACCTATGGACGCGCGCGCGTGTGTTGTGTAGGGGGAACGGTAGTGTAGTGCTTAGCGTACTGCCTGTGTCTATGTGTGTGTGTGTGTGTCTGTGTGTGTGTGTCTGTGTGTGTGTCTGTGTGTGTGTGTCTGTGTGTGTGTGTCTGTGTGTGTGTGTCTGTGTGTGTGTGTCTGTGTGTGTGTGTCTGTGTGTGTGTGTCTGTGTGTGTGCGTGTGTGGTGTGTAGGAGGAACGGTAGTGTAGTGCTTAGCGTGCTGCCTGTGTGTGTGTGTGTCTGTGTGTGTGTCTGTGTGTGTGCGTGTGTGGTGTGTGGGGAGCGGTAGTGTAGTGGTTAGCGTGCTGTCTGTGTGTCTGTGTGTGTGTGTCTGTCTGTGTGTGTGTTCTGTGTGTGTGTCTGCGTGTGTGGTGTGTGGGGAGCGGTAGTGTAGTGGTTAGCGTGCTGTCTTTGTGTCTGTCTGTGTCTGTCTGTGTGTTTCTGCGTGTGTCTGTGTGTGTGTGCGTCTGTGTGTGTGAGGAGCGGTGGGTGTAGTGGTTAACGCTACGCTGCGCTACCAACCCGGCGAACCGAGTTAGATTCCCGCTCATGGCCACCACCGATCAAGATTATTTGAACCTCACATAGGTCGACTCAGCCTCAAACGAGTAACTGGTGTGGCGTATTAACATCGCCACTGGGGAGACAAAGGCGGCCGGCCGTGGTGGATACAAGTCCCGGGCGAAGCCGGGTAGTACAGCTAGTCTATATATATAAAATCGTTCATGTCTGTGTGTCTGTGTGTGTGTGTGTGTGGACTGCACTTTCATTGGACGGCGGTTGCCCCTGGCAACGGCTAGCCACGCCTTCGCCGCTTTCATTGGACGGCGGTTGCCCCTGGCAACGAGTAGCAACTTTTCTCCGCGGGGTGGACGCCATTTTTAATAGCGCGGGGGGGGGGGGGGGACCGGCACCCGTACCCAGCGTTCGCCGGGTGCGAAAATCAGGCAAGGCGGGAGGCTCTGCACGGTGCTAGGCCTCGACACCCAACACGCCACTCTGAGGTAAATTCATACAAATTTCACGTCCTCTACAGAGTGGCGAGGGAGGCAGAGTGGCGAGGGAGGCAGAGTGGCGAGGGAGGGACTCAGCCTCAAAACGAGTAACTGGTGTGGCGTATTAACATCGCCACTGGGGAGACAAAGGCGGCCGGGCGTGGTGGATACAAGTCCCGGGCAAAGCCGGGTCATGACTATGTGTGTATGTGTTTATGTGTATGTCTGTGTGTCTGTATGTATGTGTGTATGTATGTGTCTGTATGTGTTTGTGTGTATGTATGTGTGTGTCTGTATGTATGTGTGTGTGTATTGTGTATGTGTTTGTGTGTATGTATGTGTGTGTTTGTATGTATGTGTATGTTTGTGTGTATGCATGTGTGTGTATGTGTTTGTGTGTATGTGCGGTTATGTATGTGTGTGTATGTGTGTGTCTGCAGCAAGCGCGTGTATGTGTACCTATGGACGCGCGCGCGTGTGTTGTGTAGGGGGAACGGTAGTGTAGTGCTTAGCGTACTGCCTGTGTCTATGTGTGTGTGTGTGTCTGTGTGTGTGTGTCTGTGTGTGTGTGTCTGTGTGTGTGTGTCTGTGTGTGTGTGTCTGTGTGTGTGTGTCTGTGTGTGTGTGTCTGTGTGTGTGCGTGCGTGGTGTGTAGGAGGAACGGTAGTGTAGTGCTTAGCGTGCTGCCTGTGTGTGTCTGTGTGTGTGTGTGTCTGTGTGTGTGTGTCTGTGTGTGTGTCTGTGTGTGTGTGTCTGTGTGTGTGTGTCTGTGTGTGTGTCTGTGTGTGTGCGTGTGTGGTGTGTGGGGAGCGGTAGTGTAGTGGTTAGCGTGCTGTCTGTGTGTCTGTGTGTGTGTGTCTGTCTGTGTGTGTGTTCTGTGTGTGTGTCTGCGTGTGTGGTGTGTGGGGAGCGGTAGTGTAGTGGTTAGCGTGCTGTCTTTGTGTCTGTCTGTGTCTGTCTGTGTGTTTCTGCGTGTGTCTGTGTGTGTGTGCGTCTGTGTGTGTGAGGAGCGGTGGGTGTAGTGGTTAACGCTACGCTGCGCTACCAACCCGGCGAACCGAGTTAGATTCCCGCTCATGGCCACCACCGATCAAGATTATTTGAACCTCACATAGGTCGACTCAGCCTCAAACGAGTAACTGGTGTGGCGTATTAACATCGCCACTGGGGAGACAAAGGCGGCCGGCCGTGGTGGATACAAGTCCCGGGCGAAGCCGGGTAGTACAGCTAGTCTTTATATATAAAATCGCAAATCTGTCTGTCTGTCTGTGTGTGTGTCTGTCTGTCTGTGTGTCGCCGGACCATACGCAGTTTCATTGGACGAAATGTGAGGGATTTGCGAGACACGATTGGTCCGTTTGGTTTTCCACGGCAGTTGCCCCTGGCAACGGGTAGCAACGCATTCGCTGCGGGGTGGACGCCATTTTTAATTCCCGTTAAAAATATGCGCACGCATTAACACGCGACTCTGAGGTAAATTCATCAAAGTTTCACGTCCTCTTCACTCCCCCCCCCACCCCAATGTGTGCAATTACTATTATAGGGTCGGTAGATAATACAATTATAGCGATTAGACAGTATTATTGTAGCGCGGAGGGGGGGGGGGGTAACGGCCCCAGTACCCAGCCTCAGCCGGGTGGGCAATTTAGGCGAGGCCGGAGGCTCTGCACGGTACTAGGCCTCGACACCCCACCACACTATAGGCCGTACATATTACTGCACAGCGGCCGAGGAGATCGTGGCTGGGGGGGGGGGGGGGGTGGCAGGGGTAGCAGCCCATCTGTGTATATATGTAAGGTTATTAAGAAATATATTTTTCACCCGGGCAACGCCGGGTACTTCTGCTAGTAGTGTTATATTAAAATGGATAAGGCAGCAACTGCAGCAGCAGCAACTGCAGCAGCAACTGCAGCAGCAGAAACTGCAGCAGCAGCAGAAACTGCAGCAGCAGCAGCAACTGCAGCAGCAACTGCAGCAGCAGCAGAAACTGCAGCAGCAACTGCAGCAGCAGCAGCAACTGCAGCAACTGCAGCTCCCTTTGATGCTGTTAATCCTGCATAATGCACATGCATATGTAGTACTAATCACATTCCTGCATTTCCCATAAATATGCTAAATTCCTCTTGATATGCAAATTTCTTTGTCAAGGCGTCCAGCTTATATATATATGCTCCAAGCTCGTGTGCTGTTTCATTCAGACTCTGTCGCCTCGACGGACCTGGTTTTCACCTGAGGACGGCTGCTTGCGTTGTGGCCGAAACGTCGTGAGAATAATTTTATTCTTCTTCTTGGTTCTTTCGGTAAAGTCACGTAGAAGGGAAGCAATAAAATAATAAAAATAAAACATAATAAAATAAAATAATTCTCACGACGTTTCGGCCACAACGCAAGCAGCCGTCCTCAGGTGAAGAATGAGACATTACCAAGCTAGGAGCTAATATATACGCTGCGTTGGAGGTGCAAGAGCGCCTTAACAAAAAGAATGTGCATATGAGGCGCTCTTGCACCTCCAACGCAGCGTATATATTAGCTCCTAGCTTGGTAATGTCTCATTCTTCACCTGAGGACGGCTGCTTGCGTTGTGGCCGAAACGTCGTGAGAATTATTTTATTTTATTATGTTTTATTTTTATTATTTTATTGCTTTCCATTCTACGTGACTTTACCGAAAGAACCAAGAAGATGGATCCCTGCAGTCACGAAAGCTTTAAATCGAAAAATAATTTTATTATGTTTTATTATTTTATTACTTCCTTTCTACGTGACTTTACCGAAAGAACCAAGAAGAGGAAAAGTCCCATCAGTGAGCTCCTCCGGCAGGCAAGGCTGCGTTGGCTGGGTCATGTAGCCCGCATGCCCAGCCACCGCATGCCTAAACAGCTTTTGTTCGGCCGGATCGAGGGGGCTAAATGGGCGCGGCACGGGCTAGAGAAGAGATGGAGTGATGTGGTACAGGAGGACGTGGAGCTGAGTGGACTTGTCGATGACTGGTACCAGCGGTGTCAAGATCGGCTTCTGTGGAGGAGGCTCGTGAAGGACGCTACTGGGCAGTTGGAGGCAGTCGCCCTCCAACAACAACGGAGGGCGGAGGAGCGACGCTCATAACAACGAGCGGAGCGCCGGGTGGCTAAAGCACAGCAAGTTAGCACAGTAGGGGGCACAGGTGGTGCATCAGCCAGTCATCTCGGTCATCTCGGTCAGTCGACCCGTGGCACCTGGGTCTGCCCCGTGACCTCCTGCCAGCGGGCGTTCGACACTTCACGTGGCCTCAAGGTGCACATGGCCTGGCACAAGCGTCGTGGTGACGTCACCGCCACTTAGTGGCGAATGGCGGTTGTTGTTGTTGTTGTGAGTCCATGTGTGTAAGTCTACTTGTGTATGTGTGAGTCGATGTGTGTACCAAATCTTCAATGATTGCAATGCTGTTAGGCACAGGAACTTTGGTAAACAAAGATACGACATCAAAGCTAACAAGCAAATCACCTGGAGATAGTGAGATGTCCTTAAATAACGATACCAAGTGAGCTGAGTTAAGTACAGCTGATGTGGTCTTACCAGTGAATGGTTGTAAGGTCTCAGAAAGAAATCGGGCCAGTTTGTCGGTGGGTGAGTTAATGGTGGAGACGATAGGACGAAGTGGTGCACCTCCTTTATGGATTTTTGGTAAGCCATACAATCTGGGTAGTCTAGCAGCAGATGGTTTTAAGGAAAACCGCTTGGTTGGTTTCCACACAACTTTTAAAAGATTTCTAGACAAGAAGACTCATGTGATCGAGTCGCTCACTTTTCTGAAGTGATGCCGCGACACTAAGGTAATACCGATCACCTTTCCACTGACATCTGCTGCTGTCACTTCTAATGCTACATGGATCTTGTTCAAGGCCGGCCTAGCCCTGATCTCAGAGAGAATAAGATTGCTCCGATTTGAACTAGACAATTTAGACAAGACTCTCTTGCAATCACACTAAACTTTGACATAAAAATGTCTACATCTGATTGGGACCATGTAGATAACATGACAGACGCTTCAGCGGCCTCAATCTCAGATAAATGCAAAAATAACCTGATTTCCTAGTTCAACCTCCTGTCCAAGAAGAAGCCAGTTCCACACGTTAAAAGTTAGACAGTGACAAGATTGTTATCAATCAGAGTAACAGCCCAATTTCTGACAGCCTAAAATCGGTTCTAGCTAAAGGGTTGAATTTTGCAGTCACCCCTAAACACATCCCAGTTGATGATATCATTGCCCAGGTCGACGTAGCCCTTAAGGGTTTGGGACACATTCCTGCAGACGTGGTAAGATCGGAAATCGCTGCAATCCTCAAAAACGCTAAAACACCGATTAGCAACATCAGCAAGGATGAGCGCTTTGAACTTTCTCAACGAAAAAAGAGGGCAATGCCAATGTCATCATTGACAAAACCACATACAATAACAAAATTCAGGACCTACTTAATTATAGCAGCTATACCAAAATCAATAGAGATCCTACCAACCGCCTGGTTACGAAAACCAACAATATCATCGCTGATTCGACATCTTTAATCGAACCAAACAAACGGACATGTTCAACGTCATGAGCCCCGACCCTTATAAGGATGGCGGGGCTTGGGGTCCAAGGTTCTATCTTCAGGTGAGCTCTTGGGTATTCGGCTTGACGCGGACTGACTCGAGGCGCTCTGGGGTCTGGCTTTTATGGGGCTCCCACGGTCACTCCGCCCCTGGCCACGCCCATCATCTAGAACCTTCTGGAGGGACCTTGATCGTTGCACAATCCCCCCAACCCCCCCACACTGGGGGCCTGGGGTGTCCTCCCCTGGTACCCAACCGTCCCCCCAGGTTGCCTGACCCATGAGTCCTGCTTAGTACAGACCGGACCCGCTATTGCCCCCTGTTGGTCCCTGACTGGAGGTACATGTTCAACTGTAGTGGTGGCGGCGTATTACGCTCAACAATTACCCACCACACTATGATGGGCGCGTACTGCGTTATCGCGGGAGCGTTCGGTGTCATAACGGGCACATTCGGCGTCATAACGGGCACGTTCGGCGATATGATGGCCATGTTCAGCGTTATGACAAGGAGCATTCAGCGTTATGACTAGACCCACCGGATGGAGTGAGTTGTGTTCTTATCCAGCAGTGGATCGACCATGACTGACGGAACTGATGCGTGGGCAGTGGTTTAAATGAGGTGGTAACGGCATCGATCCATTAATCACTGCATCTCGATTAGTTTATCTTGTTTTCGATTCCGCGTGTTATTAACACCCAATGACGTACGATTACGAGAAGAATTGACGAATCGATTAGTTACAGCTATCGATTAGTTGCTTTATTGTCTTTAAAAAAGCCTCTTTTATATATCTGCCACCGCAATTACCTTTAAACGTCCCTCTGCGTGAAACAGCCGAATGGGTCAATAGATTTAACATTTGTTTTCTTCTAACCGGAGTGCGGTTTTGAGTGAATCGATAAAGTAACAACAGGAATCGATTCCCCCGGAAAGGGAAGGGCGTTTACGCCGCCGTCGTCCGAGTCGCGTTACTTCGCTTTCCCTGCCTCGACAAAGTTTCAAACTTTTGCGGAACTTTTTATTGTCTAACTTCTTTATTTGGCTCGTCGGCTTCTATCGGACGACACCCCGTGCGAGACAATCACCGTGAGTCTATGCGATCGTTAGTTTGAGAGTGTTACTACACACACACCGTGTAGTGGTGGTGTGTTGCCGAGGCCCGTTCGTGGTTGTTGATTTCCTGTTCATTATCGTGACGGAGCTTCACTTTAAATACATTCGCCACGGTGTTGATGTTCGACGATTCAGTCCACGTGCCTGTGAATTGGTGTCGATGGAGGGAGCGCGTGGATTGCGGTGGAGCGACGGAATCGGCGGCGCTGCTGCGAGGCGTCTACACACACGGGGGGGGGGGGGGGGGGTAACCTTCATCCAGCAGTGGACAGGACGCGGCTGCTGCTGCTGCTGACGCTCTGTGTAGTGTGCGTGGCTTGTGGAGGCCTTCATCCAGCAGTGGATTGACGGGGCGGCCTGTGGTTATGTATTTAGCCAGGTGAGAGGCACTGGGTATTTATACGAAAGCTAAGCAGCATTGAGTCTGGCTAGTGCTCGGATGGGTGATAACAAACCACGCATGCCCTCTTGTCATAGACAACAGAAGACGGTGGGGCAAGATCTGTGGTTGTATTCTGCTGTACCTCGATGCTCACCCACATGCAATGCGCCTTCCTGCCTTCACCAAGGCCCTCTGATCAGACTGGTGAAGTATGGTCAAATAGTTACCACGACTTGCACGGGGGTATGTGGTAGGCCCTCGTCCATCAGTGGATTGGCAGAAAGGCAGTATGCACAGTACGTGTAGAGATGCGTCAAGAAGGGTAACGTGGCACGTTGTGCACAATGTTACATCTGCAGGAATGAGGCCTTGAGGTGTCTGTGGCCTTTTGTGAATGGGTGCATGTACAGTTTCCTACGAATCCACTGCTGGATGAAGGCCTCCCGTCGCCATGCGGGTCGTGGTGGATATTTGACCATACTTCACCACGCTTGTCGCTATGGGTTTGTGAAGGCAGAAAGTACAAGACACTGTGGTTTAGTAGTACGGTACAACAATGGATTTTGTTTCACTGCCCTTACAGAAACCCTTACAAGCACTATCTAGGCTTAACTCTGCTTGGCTTAATAGATCTGACGATATTGGATGATTTGGCGATGGGCTAAGTTGATGTAAATATCTCTAAAACGGCCCTTTACGTAACTTGTGAAGTGGCATGTTGTGGTAAATGTTTATTAATTCGAGGATGTGTCGCCATCTCCCATCAGCAGCCACGATCTACTGCTGGATCATGTCTTCCCCAAGCCTTCGCCACATTGTACGATTCGGCGGTGAAATCTCAGTGCGCAAGCACATTTTGTGCAAAATTATTCCATTTCTCCATCTGCTTGCTAGACGTCCTCAGGACATGTGCCATTCCTCGGTTGACGGCCCATAATTATTGGTTATGTGTCCTGCCCAAGCCTCACTTTTCTTAAAAGTGTCTATGTAATCATGAACCCGTGTGTTTTATACAACAATAAATAGTTGAGGACAAAAACGCCTCTTGTAAATCATTACAGAAATCGTGCGTACGCATTTTTTTTGTGTTGGGTGGCTTACAAGTGGAACGTGGAATGAAAAGCCTGGGCTTTGCTGGAACATACAATGTTTTTCACTCACACTGTGACATTGTTTCCTCTGATTATTCTCGGTGTGTAATCACAGGACAGTGTTGTGTGGTCATAGTCATCAGAATAACTACCCGCGTGCCCGTCCACTGCTGAATGAAGGGCTCCCACGCGCCACGTGGGCTTGTTTGACGAACCTCGCTCATGCTGGTCAGTTCGGGGTGGGGCCCACGACAGGTTCAGGTATCACCACTCTTGTTGTGCATGATGCCAGCAGCAGCCGCAGCAATACGTTCAGGAGTGAGATGCCAATGTCGTGGTGTGCTGCTGGCAGCGACGAGAGGGCTTCATGAGAGAGTTTGTGTCGTATTTCTTAGTGGTTTAATATATGGTCCATCGTTTAGGTTGCATGGCCAAAATTGCACCGCTGTGGCTTCTATAAAAATGTCCACTCATGGAGTTTTTCGCATCAGCCTGTTGATGTAGTGGTGTGGTTGGTGGCTACACGTGTCGTCCCGGAATGTCAAAGCAAGGAGGTGCGATGTTTGGGTCTCAAATGCGGTGTTTATTGTGGATGTCCACATTGTTCTACTCTATTTGCTAGGCAGCATTCTCCCAGATCTTGGTGAGATTCTAGAATGGTGGCAGCAGTGATATTCCAGAAAGTTTATCGGGACTTTAGTCATCAACCAAGAACATTGTTGGGGTCTTGGTTGATTGGTAGGTGGTTATTGTTGTTGGTGGCAAGAAAACGCGTAAAATCCCTTGCATTGTGAAGTCACTCTGTATATTTGGTGGCATAATGTTCGCCAAAACAGGGAGCCAGGGGATTGGTGTTGGGTTCAGTGTTTCGGTTATGATTCTCATTGTGTTCTTTAATTGTGCATCTAACCACTGATGTTCGCTGTGACTTGGAATCAAACTCAGGACTCTAGGTGCATACCGCTGTGCGCTAACCATTGTGCCACTGGTCCTGACGCAGTACAGTTTCACAATGTACAGTGGCCACCGCAGCTGCATAAATTAAGAATTTGCAGAAAGGAAAGAGTCACCAATGACTTCACACAAAACCATTGCATTCGGTTGGGGTCCGCTCTTCATTTGGATAAATTCTAGCTTTTGAATCTATATCGTTAATTTGCCTTGCAATGCCCATTGACTCTCATATGTGAATGAGTGGGGGGGAAAGTTCTGCCTCCCATTGTGTGTGGACTAGAGGCCACTTCAAAGGATCTAAGAGGTAGCTCAGTGGTATCCGCTTCTCTGGGCCGTTCTCTTAGCACAACTGATTGCACTGCTGTGCGAGAGTTACGGATCGATGCTTCGTCTCATAACTATGTGACTGCAATTGCACAAATGAGATGAAGTTATAGGGAAATGAAAAAAAAACATGAATTAAAAGGTCCAACGATTTAACATTGAGCAACCTCTTAAATGCAAATACAAAGCATACAAGAGAATGCTGCTGCTGTGTAATGGTTAGCACACTGGACAGGCAATCCGAGAGGTGGCAGAAGTCTCTTAACCTTCCCCTGCCTCTGTCGACCTAGAAATAATAATGGGTACGCTACAACTATTCAATTGCCATGTAGTGTTTGGCAAGGTAAAGTGTGGAATTGCCACCTCTACCAAGAGTTGTGGTCAGCGTAGAAGAGTATGCCTTGAATTGAGAAAATCTTATACTTAGCCGGGCGGTGGTTGCGCACACCTTTAATCCAGCACTGTGCCTGGCAAGGGTTGGTGGATCGTGCACATGTTGTGAAACCCCCTTGCTATGGGCATAGAGGAGAAGCCACATCCTGGCTTGCCAAGGGGAAGTACAGGAGAAATGGGAGCTCCACCTTTCCCATCTGTATGAGATTCGAGTGTTTCCCTCTCGCACAGCGTGGATTTTCTCCAGGTGCTCCTGTTTCCTCCCACAGGTAAATACTCAATAATTGGCAAGTGACATCTTAATATACAGAGGGCCACAGAGCTTGGGCAATTGTTGGCACGGGCTCACCTCATGGCTGCTTTTCCACTTGTCTGTGGTTCTTCCTTGCGCCTCGTGAGTCGTCTTGCATGGAGAGCAAGTCAATACTTTGTGGCACGTTACAAGTTGGAATTATTATTATATACAGACACTTCGCATAGATTTCACTCTATGGAACGGTTGCATGGCTTGGCTGTTTGAATTAGTCATCACTAAATCACCCCATCGTCAATTCCTGTTTTAACGAAGATTGAATCAGTTCTGTTTTGTCAAGTATGTCTTTCTGAGATGCACTTCATAGTAAGTTCAATGCAATAATTTCCGCTACCAGAATAGAAGCTTCTGGCAATGATGTTTGGAAAGTTCCTGGATGGTGGACCAAGAGAGATGGCCAGGTGTGGTAGGTGTGTTCCTGCCAGGTAGCCAGGACTTGGCAGTGTAGAGTCTCCACCCCCGGGGCATACATGGTGAGTGTTCTCCAGTTTCCAATTTCCTTCCACTTGAAGCCCTACACATTTTGATGGAATAGGCCAAACGCCCCAATGTATGACTTTGTTGGCAATTCTTGAGGCTCATTGAGGATTATCTAATTGGCATTATTCTTATTATTAACGTTTGGTACAGGCTATGCAACAGCTTGGCAGCAATCACCAGCATACATAACATGGTTGACCTATAGGACCCATCCCTCGACTGCACCCGGGCATCGATCGGCTTCGTACTGTGTGGAAATTCCTCTGGTACAACTATGGAAAACTTTTTAAACTACGTGGTCAAAAAAAGATGTTAAGTCGTGTAGAGGCCAGAGGACATCCCTGTTGCACCCCAAGGTGAACAGGGAATGGCTCTGACTCCCTGCCACCCAGCTTTACCTGGGCCTGGCCACCGTCATTATGGTCCTTAATGATTGTGAACAGAGAGTCAGGGATCCCAAAAGCACGAAGAACCGCTGCACGACTGCTCCCATATGCACGTACACACATTCACACCTATGCCTCCATAGAATGTAACTGGTTCATCGTTCCACTGTCAATGGCGTGTTCGGCTTTTCCACAATCACGCTCTGGGGTTGCGAAGGTTTGTTGTCAGAATGAACACTGGCCGTTTGTTTTCCCTTGCTCTCCCTCAGGGCAGTGGAGGTGAAGGTGTCCGACCGAGACGTTGCCGGCCAGATGGCGTCGTCCGTGACGCTGGAAGAGGCTCTTTCGAACGTGGACCTGTTGGAGGAGCTTCCTCTGCCCGACCTGCAGCCGTGCATCGAGCCACCGCCTTCCTCCATTCTCTATCAGGTCCACATGCATTATAGACCCTACAGATTCATGCCGCTGTGGATTCTACAGATTCACACGGATGTGGATTCTACAGATTTACACCACTGTGGATTCTACAGATTCACACCACTGTAGATTTTACAGATTCACACCACTGTGGATTCTACAGATTTACACCACTGTGGATTCTACAGATTCACACCACTGTAGATTCTACAGATTCACACCACTGTCGATTCTACAGATTCACACTGATGTGGATTCTACAGATTTACACCACTGTAAATTTTACAGATTCACACCACTGTGGATTCTACAGATTCACACCACTGTAGATTCTACAGATTTACACCACTCTGGAATCTACAGATTCACACCACTGTGGATTCTACAGATTTACATAGCTGTTAATTTTACAGATTTTCACCGCTGTGGAATTTGACAGATTCATGCCGCTGTGAATTCTACATATTCACGCCCGTGTGGATTCTACAAATACATACCGATGTATATTTAAACCCCTAGATTCTGATTTATATCACTTTATATTCATGTACTGTAATGGTCGAAAATATGTAGAACTATGAATACAATCGTTACCCCAGATTGTAACAATTAATTAAACTGTGTTGGGAGTGGATTGCCACATCCCTGCTTCTCAACATGAGCCAAATTCTTGCCGATAGACATACATGCTGATAGACATACATGCCATGTCATTTCCTTCATAGACTTTTTTCCAGACAAGCCACGGGCAGTGCGATTGTGGCCATGCAATATTAAGGATGGACCATACAGTAAACCACTGAAGTCTGCTCTTCTTCAGCAGAGGAAGAATAACAAAACTGCCTTCTCCTGGCTATCATTCAGCTCCTGAACATATTGCAGTGCTCAATAATAGAATAGGAGACTTTTGCTGACCATCCACAGCAGAGGTGGGACATTTTTTTCCTTAAGGAGGGCCGAACAAGAATTTCAAAACCTTTGGAGGGCATCCACACGTTAACACCCACACACGCATTAGCAAACCCACATGCGTTAACAAACACACGCGCGCGTGCGCGTTAACACATACACACACCTCAGCCGCTTCTCACACTGCAAGAGTCTCCTTACAGTGACAGAATTGACTGAGCGTGTCAAGTATATTTCTCTTGTTTTTGATCGGTGTGGCTCAGATGCTTGCAGTGATGGACAAATATTGTTTGCTAGCCAATTCAAAGTGGTAGTAGGTCTCGTGAAGCCACGGGGCCATATGAAATTAAATTGGTTGGGCCGTAGGTTCCACATTGCTGGTCTACGGAATCACTGTTGCTGCTGCTGCTCTATGTGACGGTGATCATCTTATGAGCTAATGGATGTCCTCTTTTGTCACAGGCCAACTTTGACACCAACTTTGAGGATCGCAATGCTTTTGTTACCGGTATTGCCAGGTACATCGAGCAAGCAACCGTCCACTCCGGAATGGTAAGTGCAATGAGCGCGACTCGGTCGCATGACATCCCAAGTTGACGCACGTATGCAGCCCGTTTAGACATCTGCTGCTGGATGAAGGCCCTCCCTCACACCGTGCAGGACTTGGGTTTTTTTTTATCTTCATGCAAATTGGTGCGGGTTGGAGAAGACAAAAAGCATAGAAGTACAGAACAACAATGGGTTTCGTGTGACAACCTGTTGTCATGCATGGTGGTTGCTCATGAGTACTATCCAGGCTTAGCTTCTGGAGTTCTGTGGGCTAGGTGCACATTCTGAGAGGTTTGCTGATAGGTAATGTGCCTAGTCATAGGTGACTTGGCGTAAAATAGGAGAGGGTGTGTTAGTGTGGAGCAGTGGCGCAGTGGGTCGCGCACTGCGCTTATGAACACGCCGGCTAATTCCTGCTCACGGCCAATATCGGTAATTCATATCTAAACCGTTCCTGGGCCTCCATAAAGTGAGCTCAACCTTATATGAGTGTCTGGTGCGGTGTGTAAACATCAGCGCTTAGGGAGACAAAGGTGGCCGAGCACAATGTTGGTCACACAGCCCCCTTCTATGCCGCGTTGCCCCTCGTAGGTTGCTCGTGTACAGCACTCACCCCAACAGTCGATGAAGGGCTACACGGGGGATCCTTTGCCTTCTGTCTGCGTGGGCGTGGTGCCGGCCATGCCGCCCCCTTTCGTGTGCCGTGACGACCGTTGGCACTGTTTGTAAGCGATGCGGGCAATCTTGGTCTGCGATTTCAGAATGAGATGCTGGAGGAAGGCCAAGAGTACGCTGTCATGCTCTACACCTGGAGGTGCATCTCCCGGGCTATCCCACAGGTGAGCGCTGGTCTCCTCTGTTGGCTGCCCACTGGTTTCACCTCCACTGCCCACTGGTTTTGCCTCTACTGCTCACTGGTTTCTCCTCCACTGCCGCGTCGTGCACCTTAACCTACTCAGCTTTGCCTCGTGCCCTCATTATAGCAATGCATCGACGAAGCTCGTCCCTTACCGGTGTTCAGAGTGAAAACCAGGAAGTGAGTTTGCATGTGGAGACCTCTGAGATTTGTCCATGCGCGTCTGTTTTGTCTATGTGTCAATGTGCGCATCTTTGTCTTTGTGTAGTGATAGACTAGAGAGACGCTATATCAGGAGGCACTCTGTTTATGTATAGCCTTCGCAGGCACTGAGAATACTATAGTAAGGTCAGGACAGCAACGGGCTGCCTGACCCACAACGCTGAGACGAGGGTAAGACGATGTTGTCGATGACGAAGACTTGGCGAGACTTGACTTGACGGCCTTCAGGGGTCCGCTCCAACAACGGCCCTGAGTCCTCTCCGGGGTCCCCCTTATATTCCCCCAGTGCAGCCTCGTTCCCCCTTGGCTATGCCCCCCTTCTAGAACCCCCTAGAAGGTTCCCGGGCTTCTCCCGTACCCCCTGCGTCCCCTCCCCACATCCCTTCCTCCCGCCTACCCCCTCACTTCTGGCCGACAGGGTTGCCATGGCAGTCAAGCTCCTTTTTGCCAGCAGCCAGCGCTACATGCCGTAGTGACCTATTCCATATCACTACATTTGTATTACAGTGGTGCGGTGGTTGTCTGAACCCAGTGACCCGAGTTAAATTCCTGGCCGTGGCTAACATCAGCAACGTATATTTGAACCAGTTTTGAGCCTCCCGCAAGTCGAATCCGCCTTGAATGAGTACATGGTGTGGTGTGTTCACATCAGCACTGGGGAGACAAAGGCATTCGGATGTGATGCTGGCCGTACCACCCTGCACATGCATTAGGAATGTGTGCCTGCTTATGAATTCAAAACACTGAAAATTTGGCCTCGATATGACATTTCTGACGATTCTCATAGATCATACTTCATCACGCTGATGTGTGAGTTGATGAAGGCTGTGAGCATAAACATGGGATCATAGAAGTACAGTAAAACACATGATTTTGCTGTACTGCCCTCTACGCACACAGCCTATAACGCCTGCAATACACAGTGGTTGCTCACCCAAGTACTATCCAGATCTGATGAGATGGAGTGCATTCTGGGTGATTAAGTTATAGGCCCCCACAGTTTTAATGTTACTGTTGTCGGTCTGTAACTTTCCACTGCTGGATATAGGCCTCCCCCCACTTTCATTCTCTTCCTGAGTTGTTGTGCGGACTGTTTTGATTTCATATCGCCATCTCTTCTGCTGCTTCCCTCTGGATCCTCTTGGCCTCTGTGGGTGTCCACCGCGTAATTAGGTGCGTACAACGCCGCGTGGGGGAATCGCTGTCGTTGTTTGTAGGTGAAGTGCAATGAACAGCCGAACAGAGTGGAGATTTACGAGAAGACGGTGGAGGTCCTGGAGCCCGAAGTCACAAAGCTCATGAACTTCATGCATTTCCAGGTATGTGCTTGGCAGCCTCTGAACCACGGCTAATGGGTTTGGCAATGCGACCTCTTTCTCAGTTCCTTTTTGTTTGGCTGATATTAATGGAAGGCAACAACTGTTATTTTACGTCTAGGTGGTTGAGCCAAATGATTTTGTCAGGATTAGCGGAGTGGATCACTTACTCCTCCTCCTTGTTTGTGAATCGGACACCGAGTCGTTATTTGTTCCTATGGGCACCGGATATGTTTAAAATTTTACTTATGTGCATCATATCAAGTATCCGCGTCTGCCAATGGTTTGTGCGGTGGATGTGGTCTAGGGTCGTGGCCTATAAGTATTGCGGAAGGTTAAAATCAGGGGTCTTCGACGTTGGGTGTTTCATAAGGTGTTTGTGATTTGTTGTGAAATCGTTTGGCTTTCACAGGCATCATATGGGTGGAAGTTGCATTGTTAAAGGTTAAGCGCGTGGGTCCTATTGGACTTGTGTGATGTCAAGCAATCGTGAGGGATGTTATTGAGCTCCTCTTGGATGGGGAGACTTAATTTTCCCAATTACTCGGTTGATTATAATTTTGCTTGCGTTTGTAAGATATTACGCTCCCTAAGAGCACTTGGCCCAACCAACAGCTTATGTAGGCTATGCGGGCGGACGTTTGTGTTTGGTAGTGGTGACGATGGTTGGTGCCCCGATACGCTCTGTCCCGTTCAGCGAAAGGCGATCGAGAAGTTTTGCGAGGAGATGAAGCGGCTGTGCCACTGCCGAGCGGCGCAAGGACTTTGTGTCCGAAGCGTACCTTCTCACGCTGGGCAAGTTCATCAACATGTTTGCCGTCCTCGACGAGCTCAAGAACATGAAGTCGAGCGTCAAGAACGACTACTCCGCCTACAAGCGGTAACACGCAAGCCGCAAGCTACGCACCCGCGCGGTCGGGGGAGGTGACAATTCGTCCGCCGAAATCGATTCTGCCTATGCTTCAGAGGGGGCTGCGTGGCTCCAGGGGGTCAGGTGGCCGAACCTGAAGCGCTGAGATCTGGGGTTCGACTCTAGGCAGCCACACGCCATTAAAGCAGCTTTCTCAAGTGCAGTCAGTTGATGGTCTCAGCCCAGTTGCACACACAAACAAACCCATCGTGTGAAGTTTGGTTCTGCACTTAATTTCACTAAATTCCAACCCTGAGAATTAAATATGCAGAGGGCGTGGGAAAGTGCTGCCCCCAACTTTGTGAAGCATAGGTCACTGGAAGGGCTGCACTGCTGTGCAAGAGATCCGCATGGATCCGTCTTCTCATGACGTGTTATCGTGGGACAATCAGGTTAATGTTGGGAGGGGCGGGGGGAAAATAACAAATTGGTAATAACAAAGTTATTAAATTATTAAAACAAATTCTTACTTTCACAATATACAAGTTGAGTCGTGTGTGTTGTCAATGATCTAGGTGAGCAGGGTTCTTCAGCTAGTGGCCTGTGGACTGGATGTGGCAAGGCTCTTTCAGCGGCCCGCCGGGAGATATCGCTCACCGAGAAATCGAGATACAGATTAGTGAGATGAAAGGGAGATCAACGAGACTTGGGGATGAGTGAGAGAGGAACCTCGTAAAGTATTTTAATTTGTCCGCTCTTCCATTCTTTTGGGGCGTTTGTTCCAGAGCTGCTCAGTTCCTGCGCAAGATGGCTGACCCGCAGGCCATCCAGGAATCTCAAAACCTGTCCATGTTTCTGGCAAGTCACAATAAAATCACGCAGGTAAGCGTCAAGTCATTGATTTACGACAACAATTATACTAATTATAATTTACAGCCCTTGGTCAATCCTCTGCTGGATGAAGACCTCCACTCGCCATGTCAATCATGGGGGATGATTGACTGATTGACCTTATCACGTACTTGTCCACATTTCTTCATGCAGATGTGAAGATTGAAACACGACTGACAAATATGAAGAGTGAAACATAAGAGATCAGAATAATTCGACGACTCTTGTCTGTTAACATGCTATTGGTGGGCAGAGCCATGGGCCCATCTCACAATTGTAATTGTGTCATTTATAATTTACCAGCTTTACTAGCCGGCTTCGCCCGGAACTTGGATTCTTGTCTTGGATTAATACACGGCCTACGCGGCAGGTGGGGGGGGGATTCCGTGACGTCAGCAGGCACACTGCGTGACGCTGCCGCATGCGGGTGACATCACAGATGTGACGTCACCGCTCACTTGCCGTGCAAAATATATCCATTAGTGCGCCCCCCCACTCCCCCCCAAAATACAAAAGTCTATTTTTATACTTTTTGCATTGTGTACAGTCTGGAAGCTACCCACATGCCAAATTTCAAGTTTGTTGCATGTCGGGAAGTATGCTAAACATTCGAACAGACACACATTCACAGATTTCCCTTTTATATATATAGATTTGAATAACATTAGCGATGGTATTTTCAACTCGCATCGCTGTTTTAATGCTGTCTAAGGTTTGATTCATTGACTGCCCATCATTTGTGTGAAAGGGGGGCAAGCATCATCTCGTAAAGATGAACCAAAGCAGGCAGACCTTGCTTCACACACATACACACAGGCAGACCTCGCTAAGCGTGGCCCTGTCGAACGCTCACTCGTTACGGCGCTCTTTGTCCTGGAGGAAGTAAAAAACAACTGACGAAAATAAAAAAACAAATCTGCTCGGTGCTTATGAGGGAGAACATGCATCAGCGCTGGCTGAAGAAACGTCCTGGCCCCCATCATTCACTCGGCCAATGAGAGCGCCGCACGCTCCGAGCCAACCAGAACCCACCGCCATGATTCTATTAACGCGATTAGTGGTCGCGATTACATGAGAGAGAAAAAATGTATTTGTTTAGCCAGGTGAGAACTCACGGGACCAGGATAGAGTCTCGGGCACCACTTAAAAGGAACCTCACCACAAGAATGTAGACTAAGGGCATCGCTAAGATCACGAAGGTCCTGAAGCTCTCCTCTGAGAATGACCCCGGATTTGGAGTGCAGCAGCAGCAGCAGCTCCTCCAACCTCGTCTCCCACCACTGCCTTGTAGGAGGAGTGCAGTAGAATTCACTTATGAGTACTGTACATAATACTGATGTTATTGTAATAAATTTTCGTTTATTTAGTTTCTCAATCCTCTTGTCCTGGTGAGGGTTGGGGCGGCAGAATGTTGAGTAGTTCTTGAAATATTTACCATCTGCATTATTACGAACGCTAATACCGATACTACCAATAAAACTCATTTCGATTTAAAGCTTTCGTGACTGCAGGGATTCATCTTCTTGGTTCTTTCGGTAAAGTCACGTAGAAGGAAAATAATAAAATAATAAAAATAAAACATAATAAAATAATTCTCACGACGTTTCGGCCACAACGCAAGCAGCCGTCTTCAGGTGGAGAACAGGTCTGTCGAGAAGGCATTCAGACTCTGCCTTCTCGACAGACCTGTTCTCCACCTGAAGACGGCTGCTTGCGTTGTGGCCGAAACGTCGTGAGAATTATTTTATTATGTTTTATTTTTATTATTTTATTATTTTCCTTCTACGTGACTTTACCGAAAGAACCAAGAAGGTAAAACTCATTTGTTGCTTTTGCGAAATGAATAACCATGTCGGGAATGCATCCCCGTATATACAATGGTCTGATGACCCCTTTCAGCGCCGATTCGATTCGCGCTCCTCACTTCTCCGGGAACGCATCTTAAGTGCCGAGCGAGGTCTGCCTGCGCAATGAAAACTTGAGTGTAAATTGTTTGGTAGCTTTGGACTTCTCCACTTGAAAAACTATCCCAGTTGATAAATGATTGCCCACAACTTGAGTCACAAACCAAAGATGACATGCGCGTGCATGCGTATTGCCCTGACAGCTACCCACCAGTTTCGTGCTGCTGCTCATTATGAATGCATCCAAAGACAAACGCAAATTTGAAGGCGTTGCAGAATCCATGCGTATGCACGATTTTTCCAAACATGTGTCGATTGTCATAATTACACACAGGCTGGACGATAATGCTATAAGTACAGGTATCCCTCGATTTACGAAAGGGATGCGATCTTCAAATTGCGCATAAAACTATAGGTCATAAATCAGAATGGCTTTTCCCATTTAATACTATAGACTAAAAATGTGTTTCTGATGGTCGTTCCAACTCTCCTCCTAACCCCACAATATACAGCTGTCACTTTTCACAAGACAAAAATAATAATAAAGAACGTAAATATTAAAACTATTGAATAATTAGTTTAAAATAATATAAAATTAACCTTTTCAGGGAACTCGCCAACAGATCTGCATGTTGGAATGACTGGGGTGGTGATGTGGAGGCGTTACTGTTGCACTGCAGGGACACCGTGACGCTATTGCAAATGGTTGATGGCACAGCCTCCCGAGTGCTTCTCGTTTGATGATCTCATGGCGCGTGGCCGTAGTGATATTTTGTTCACGTGAAAATTTGATTTTGTTCATTAAAAAGTGTCCATGATTTGTCAATTGCGTTCACGCAAAATTTCATAAACTGAACTTTTGTAAATCGAGGGATACCTCTAAATAGGATTGACAACAACAGAAGCGCAAGGACGTAGGAGGCGGTATGCTCATGGGAGGTGTGGGGAAAGGACAACAAACTAAACACTAAAACCACTTCTTAAGATAAATATTTTTCAATCTAGAACTAAAAATGCATAGCTCCAATGGCTTCCTAATATCAAAAGGAAGAGCATTCCAGGTGGCCACAGAAGCGCATCTGAAATCGCGCGATGCAGTGAACGTTGTTGTTCGATGCCCAGCCAAAAGCCGCTGCGAGGATGACAAAACCAGAGATCTGGAAGAGAAGGAATTGAGACGGTTCGAGGCAGCGATTCTGGCTGGTGAAAGAGGATCACAGTGGACGCGTATTTGGTTATATCGTCACTGACGAGCAGATGGAAGGGACGGAGCATGGCAGCAATGATGGACGGTTGACGGCAGGCCCGGTTGCGCGTGCGCAAGTGTTGCCTCCTCGATCCTTCGCTCCTCTTCTCTCCCTGCAGACTCTGCAGCAGCATCTGGAGGTGATTCCCGGCTACGAGGAGCTGCTGGCTGACATCGTGAACCTCTGTGTGGAGTTTTACGACGACAAGCTGTACCTGACCCCCAGTGAGAAGCACATGCTTCTCAAGGTAAGCTCTGCCCTTAATGCCAGCTCATTCATGGCTGTTTTGTGCCTGATTTATCTGTTTTCTTAACAAAACCCCATTCTACTATTGCGTATAAGCAATATGTCCCGGAGCAAAATTCCAATGTCGAGGTCTGCTAGCCACGAGGGTAATTCAGGAGAGAGTTTCGTATTTTTTTATTTTCTTCCATTGAAGGAGAGCAGACTGCAGTGGTTTACTCTTTGGTCCATAGTATTGGTGGCATGGCCGCAATCACACCGCTGTTACTCGTCTTTAATTTTACATTTATGAAGGAGATGTGTGCATTGGCCTGCAGTTGATGTTCTGATACGGTTGATGGTTACACCAGCAGTGGCTTCGAGGAACGTCAAAGCCAGGAGATGCGACATTTGGGTCTTGAATGAGGAGTTTATTCTGGACATCTGCGTTCTGCTGTGCTTGCTAGCAGCGTTCTTCTGGATCTGCGTGACATTCTAGGATGTCGACAGCAGCGTGATCACAGGATCGGGACCTGAGTTGTTGCCATTGTTGAGGTCTTGGTTGATGGGTAGGTTGGAGACCAAATTGAAGCCATTAACAAATGGAAGTCGATTCTTGAATCTGATTGTGGAGCTTTGACCGTTAACCCCTCGTGTTGCACAGGATTTCTCCGGATCCTCCGGTTTCCTCACACACGAAGCGAACACTCATTCACGGTATTGGCTAAACATCCCAATATCTGTAGTATAACCTGTCTTCTATCAAGATGCACTTGTGACAATGTCGGTATTTTCATGGCAAGTGGTGATTTACTCCTCCGCAATTTATTGAGGTGTTTTTTGTCAAGGTCACAATTCAATAAAAAAATCCATTGCACTGTGCATAGGATCTTTAGTGGCAGCAGAGTCTATGGACCATTCACATGATATAAAGGGTGAATCATTTACAGATACCCTCCTGATTTCTGATTAGTCTCTTCTCAACGGCTGTTTGGATGCTGTGAAAGAGATGGCTCCGTAGCTTCGAGAGGAGCGTTTTAAAGGATATAATGAGTTTTTATTTCAGATTGGTGGGAGATGCGTGGAGGCATTGATTTTAAATGCTGTTCTGTCTAATGTATCTTTGTTATTTTAGTGGGGTATCTACTAATTGATCACCCTGTGTATAGTCGCGTCAATGCTCATACAAGCATCGGGACATTTATTTGTGCTCCGATGAAATTTGGAGACGAAACTTTTCAACTTTTAACATTTTCCAACTAAGATTACGCATTGGCTCAACTGGGGGAGGGACACGATACACTGTAATTATTAAGATAATCCGATATGAGTGAAACTTGGGTGTGAAGTTGCATTGTCATGTAGGACGTACCCAATGGGAATCGGCCAAATCTTGACTTAAAGCTTTCGTGACTGTAGGAATTCATATTTCTTTGGGTCTTTCGATGAAGCCACGTAGATAGAATAATTTTTTTTCTAAATAATAACAATATCACGACGTTTCGATCGCAACACAAGCAATCGTCGTCAGGTGAAACAAAAGGGAACCGGCCACTTTGACCCAAGAGCCGCCTCTGTCAAAGCTCCACAATCAGATTCAAGAATCTACCTCCAATTTGTTAATGGCTTAAATTTGGTCTCCAACCTACCTGGCTCCCTGTGTGCCTGATCCAGGCACACCTGTCATTATCGCTGATTAAATACCTCCGAGGACTGACACGTTGGGAAACGTTTACGTAATTCGTGCATACGCGCCGCTTTATTTCGTTGTTTTACCCAGTTGCATCCAGAGGTTTGGAAGCATGCGCTGAAGCCTAATTTTAACATCTGATTTAAAAAGCCTGAGAGCCAAAAATTACGTGTTGTGTTAACCCAAAAATCGGTGGGGGTGGGGAAATTTATGAACCTTTTAGATTGTAAATTTGCATGAATGTTGGGTTTCTTGGTGCTTTTATCGCAATTTGACAACAGGTGATGGGCTTTGGGCTCTTCCTAATGGACGGTGAGAAGAGCAACATCTACAAACTGGATGCCAAGAGAAGGATCAGTCTGAACAAGATTGACAAGTTCTTTAAGGTGCCTCCATGCGAGACAAAGTTTCAGTTTAATGTCTCTGCTTTTTTTGTGTGCAAATTATACTTCATCCTGGCTTCAATGGTGCCTTTGGCATTTTCTCGTGATACATGGCTTGCAATCCCCCACCCTTCTGTCGTTGACTTGTCCAAACACGCACCACTGAGCATTCAGGACTTATTTCTAGGCAACTCGCAGATGGCAGTGGGGCAGTAGATGCTTAGGCATTGGTTCCCTTGGTTAAGTTTTTCTGGCCATCGCTGCTAGGCGTTGCACGGGGAAGGAAGCGGTGACGAGCTTTGGTGGTATCATTTTCATTGTCTGGGGTGACCTCTTTACCTTACTTGACGTATGCTCATCTTTCCCACGCTAGCCAAACCCAGGGGTGGTGAATCTCGCTTCCCCTGGGCTACGTGAAGCCTACCACATCCAAATGGGCCACAAGTAATATATACATACATAGATAACTGTCACTACAAGCATCTTATATGCACTAGTCGGTCTTAGAGTGGGGAATATTGTTGCCTGGCAGTGCTCGCACTCAGATACTGCGAGGACCTGTGTGTAGATGAAAACAATGTACGTTTTTGCGTCAAATATTTTGATTAATAATTTGGTCAGGTGGCGGAAGTAAAGTGTGTGTCGTAAACCCTTCTCCACCCAACACACATCATTAAGTAATCGCATGACAACCTCAATATGAAGTGTATTTACATTAATTTAAACTCCTACAACATGATTATAACATTACTAACCATCTATTATAAGGTTGGGCAGGACAGGGCGACCCCATATGAGTGGGACAAATGCATAAAAGAAGAAAGAAGAACCAACCATTATAACTAATTAACTTTGAATAACCTGTATCACAACATAAGTCTATATTACATAAAATTAACATGTCCACATAATTTATTCAGAGCAAACGTTGCATCAAAATAATCTTTATCTATCCTGGAGAAATCCAATGAGCAATGAAGCTCTTTTTTTAACAGATGTCCAGTTTCAACAACAAACAGTGTCATGTATAGGAAAGGTAAGAACATCACCACAAATAAATAAATTAACATACATGTTAAAATACGTAAAGTATATAAGCAAAAATTGTATAAGTACACCAATTCCCAAGCTTGGGCAAGGCAACAAAACAATAGCAAGAACAGTCCCAGACCACACCAAGACAATGGTCCCTCAATAACATTCCACCTTAACATTGAACTCAAATGTATGCACATACATTAACCTCTAGTTATCGATTCCTGCCACTTCCTGCTTCCTTATGGGTGCACACTGATGACATCACATCACCTGTTTGAGGCCCCAAGACGAGAGGACATTTTCACAATTTGGAAACTGCCTGACGCCGGTTGTAACTACGAGCAAAACCATCATCGAGGTTTTTTTGGGTTAAGTCGCGTAAATATATAAATGTTTAGTTAAACCCGCCACCACCCGACACAACCAACTCGTAAAGGTTGTCACGTAAACAGAACATGACAATTCGTCACTAGTACAGCACACCGGTGTGTTAGAGAGTAAACCCACAACATTTACAATTCGAGTACGACGTTTTGCTGGTAATTACAACTAGCATCCTCAGGCGGACAGCCAAAAGAAACCTCTTATGGATAATATTGATCGCAAAAGCGTACGTGTTATACGAGCAAAACGTCGGACTACCCCATTGTTAAACGTTGTGGATGCTCTTGAACACACCAGTGTTATAGGATCCCCCGAGGGTGTGCGTGTTGTTTATCTTCCTGCTCGGCCCTCGCTAAGGAAGAGGTTCATACATAATAGGGGTTCCCTAAACCTGGCATGACCCCAAATCCTTGCTGTCCGTCTGCTTTACCCGCAGCAACTGCAAGTGGTGCCGCTGTTTGGAGACATGCAGATCGAGCTGGCTCGCTACATCCAGACTAGCGCTCACTACGAGGAGAACAAGTCCAAGTACGGCCGCCAACTCCCCTAACGAGTCGCTCCTGCTGCTGCACTCTGTATTGGCTGCGGTTTTTGTTGTTCGTCCGTGCGTGTGTTCGTTATGGATTTGTGCGCATGTGTTCGTGCGCGTGTATGCATGTGTGTTCATGCATGTGTGTGTGCTTGGGGCAGGAAACTACCAAGCAGCAGGGAGTGGCACTTTTGAACAAAATAATGAAGGGGGTGTGGGAGCATGGCGGTGAGGTGTGGGTAGCTGTAAGTCGCCTCTCCATCAACAAGAGGCGAGGAATGGTGGTGTTGGTTGCTTATGGCCCCAAAGAAGATGAACACTAATGGAGGGATGCAGACGAGTCAGATGCCTTCTATAACTTCCTGTCACAGGTGCTAGCTAAAGTGGCCCCTCGGGATAGAGTCATCCTGTAAGGTAACTGTAATGCCCGAGTGGGTCATGACGCAGACACCATGGTTGGAGTGATCGGAAGGCATGGGCCAGATCAGCTCAATAATAACGGAAAGAGGCTGCTAGACTTCTGTGCAGTCCATGGGGTTGTAGTTCCCAACACGCTGTTCCGGCATCGGCGCATCCACACAACATCATTATTGCACACCGGGTCCAAGCAAGAACATCTACTGGACTCTATTATTAAGACCAGCGGATGCAGGCCCATGTCCTTGACACCAGGACCTACCGTGGAGCTGATCTGCCCACTGACCATCAACTTGTCATCTGTAAGATGCACCTGCCATTCTTCTACTCCAGTGGTGTGTGTCCATCTAGGACCCCATTCAATCCCACAGTGGCCTCGTCTCAGCTAGCTGAGGATAGTTGCAAGCAGGAATTTCAACATCGCTTGCAACTGGGGTTAGCATCATTCCCCCCTCCTTTCTGATGCTGAGGGGAAATGGGTGAGGTTCAAGACTGTGGCCCATGCAGCTACAATGGCTGCATTGGGTATGCGGTCCACACCTCCCCAGAGAACCTGGCAGAAGGAGGAAGCGTTCCGGCTGGTTGAAAGAAAACGACAGGCCCACTCCTGTTGCCTACAAAATCCAACATCGGAGAATGAGAAGGCTGACCGCAGCCTTCTCTAAGAGATTCGGAGAGCCGTACGGTGCTGAAAGGATGAGTAGGGGCGGTTGCTGAGGAGATGGAATCTGCCTCAGTTGCTCACAATGACACATCACTATTTAATTCCATAAAAAAAAGTAACTTGCAGTGCCTCAGCTGTCACCATCCTTAAGGGAAAGAACGGTAATCTGATCTCCGACCCCCATGAACAGGCCTGCAGTTGTGCAGATTATTTTTGTGAGGTCTTGGGGGAGGGGAATTCCCTCAGCCCAGACAACATCATGGGGCAAGGTGAGGACGCCCCTGCTAGGCCTGCCGTGCCTCAAATATTGGAGGAAGTGCGAGGAGCGGTCCAAAGTCTGAGACCAGGAAAAGCCCCGGGCAGAGACGATCTACCAAGCGAAATGCTGAGGGAGGATGGCATTTGTGCACAGACTGCCCTACATAACATCATAACTACCTGGACCACAGGATGGGTTCCGCAGGATTGGGAGGATGCCCTGGTGGTCCCCCCTCTTTAAGAGGGGGGCACAGATTGCAATAACTATATGGGCATCTCACTCCTCAGTGTGTCGGGAAAGGTCCTGGCAAGGATTATTCAACATCGCCTTGCTAGGCACGCTGAGGAGAGGCTTGCGGAGCGCCAATGCGGTTTCAGGAAAGGGCGGTCCTGCACAGATGCCATATTTTCTGTCCGTCTGCTACAGCAGAGGTGTAGGGAATTCCAACAAGACCTACATCTCTGCTTTATTGACCTGGTCAAGGCCTATGATACCATCAGTAGGCCTGGGGTCTGGGTAGTTCTTCGTGCTTTTGGAGTCCCTGACCCTCTGCTCACAATCATTAAGGACCTTCATGATGGTGAGCGGGCCCAGGTATAACTACGTGGCCGGGAGTCGGAGCCCTTCCCTGTACACCGTGAGGTGCGACAGGGATGTCCTCTGGCTCCCACATTATTTAACATCTATTTCGAGCATGTAGTTCGTATGAAGCCTTCAATAGCTGTACCGTTGGAATTTCCATCTGGTACAGATACAATGGGAGGCTGATCGATGCCCGGGTGCAGTCAAGTGATGGCTCCCTATTGCTCAACCATGTTATGCCGATGATATGGTAATTTCTGCTCACTCAGAGAAGGAGTTGGAGGCGCTGGTGCTGAACCTGGAGTGTGCCAATAAGAGGTGGGGTGTTACAATCAGCCCCACCAAAACTAAGCACCTGCCTGGGTATTTTGTACCATCGGACACTCCACCCTCACAACTCCCAATTGGTGATTGGGCAGTTGTGGAGAGAGTGGAGAGTTTCCCATACCTGGGCAGTGGGCTCATGACTGGCTCCGGTTTAACAGCGGAGGTCTCACTCCGAATCAGTCGAGCGGCATAATCTTTTTATTGGTTCCGTAACGCTGTGTGAAAGCTACCCGCCGATCGGCTCCATGGCGGTGGCATCACAGAAGTTACCTGGTCTGTCGCTCCGCACGAAGCTTCAGGTCTGCTCGGCCACGGTCATTCCCTCCCTTCTCTACGCTTGCGAAACGTGGACCCCCCCTAATGGAACAACTTTGCCGATTAGAAACATTTAGGCTGGCATGCATGCCCAGCCACCGCATGCCTAAACAGCTTTTGTTCGGCCGGATCGAGGGGGCGAAACGGGCGCGACACGGGCTAGAGAAGAGATGGAGTGATGTGGTACAGGAGGATGTGGAGCCGAGTGGACTTGCCAATGACTGGTACCAGCGGTGTCAAGATCGGCCTCTGTGGAGGAGGCTCGTGAAGGACGCTACTGGGCAGTTGGAGGCAGTCAACCTCCAAAAACAACGGAGGGCGGAGGAGCGACGCTCACAACAACGAGCGGAGCGCCGGGTGGCTATAGCACAGCAAGTTGGCACAGTAGGGGGCACAGGTGGTGCATCAGCCAGTCGTCTCAGTCAGTCGACCTGTGGCATCTGGGTCTGCCCCGTGACCTCCTGCCAGCGGACGTTCGACACTTCACGTAGCCTCAAGGTGCGCATAGCGGTTGTTGTTGTTGTGTATGGGGAGCGGTATTGTAGTGATTAGTACGCTGCGCTACGAACCCAGCGACCCGAGTTCGATTCCCGCTCACAGCCAATACCAGTAGTGACGATTATCTGAACCGGTCCTGGGCCTCTCCTATGTCGACTCAGCCTAAAATGAGTGTGTAAACATCGCCACCCACCCCCTCGTGTGTTGTACCGGCCTTCATAAATGCTACTCGCTAACAGCACTTGCCCCAACAGTCTGTTAAGTCTACACTGGGGGATCTTTGTGTTTGTCTTGTCTTATTTGTGCATGTGTGTTTGTGTGCGTGTGTGTTCGTGTGTGCGTATTTGTGGGCATGTGTGTGTGCGTATTTGTGGGCATGTGTGTGTGCTTGTGTGTGCATGTGTGTTTGTGTGTGCATGTGTGTTTGTGTGTGTGTTTGTGCACGTTTGTGCACGTGTGTGCGTGTGTTTGTGGGGAGCGGTAGTGGAGTGGATAGCGCTACGCTGCGCTATGAAACCGGCAACCCGAGTTCGATTCCCGCTCACGGCCAACACCAGTGGCGATTTTTTAACCGGTCCTGGGCCTCCCCTAGGTCGACTCAGCCTCAAATGTGTACCTGGTGTGGTGTGTAAACAATGCCACTGGGGAGACAAAGGCGGTCTGGCGTGGTGCTGGCCACCCACTCCCTCGTATACTGTTCCGGCCTTAATAGGTGCTCACTAACATCACTTGCCTCAACATTCTGTTAAGGCTATATCGGGGATCTTTGTCTAGGTTGACTCGGTCTTCGATGAGTACCTGGTGCTTAGAGTAAGACGTCAGCACTGGGGAGACAAAGGTGGCCGGGCGTGGTGCTAGCCACTCCCCGATGTTTATCGTGTGTGCCGTGACAACCTTAATATGTGCTCGCTATTGTCACTTGTCCCAATGGTCAGGGTAGATTACGCAGGGAATCGTCTACCCCTTATCCACTGGCACAACCGAGCCATGCCAGAACCAAATGTTGATACGTTGATCTCACAAGACATCTGAATGTGGTTCATGGCCAACCAGAGGGGGGGTGTCAGTACACCGACTCGTTCACTGTATATGACGTCGGTGGAACGGAAGTTCTGCAGTGGAAAAACCACTTGGCGCTTGCCAAGCCATGCCAGAGCTTCCTCGGCTCTGGCGCGGGCCCATTGTGCGGTGTAAATGACGCGTCTGTGTTTGTCGTGTCGGAACGCATAGGTGGACCTGCACCTCGCAGAGCAGCAGCCCCCAGTACAACATCTGTGAGCAGATGGGGCAAATTCGCGACGATCACATCCGCTTCACATCCGAGCTTGCCCGACACAGCAACAGCGAGGTCAGCCCTGGCGAGCCGTTGCCACAACCCTTCTTGACCAATTTGCTTTGGTTCATATTATTTTATATATTTGGTATTCGAGCCATTCTTATAGCGCAAGTCTGACGGCCAGAATAAACACTTAATTCGAGAGCCAAACATCACACCTACTTGCTTTGGCATTTGGTGTACCATCAACTGCATCACCAAACTAAGCAATCTTTATTTTACCAGGTAAGGCCCACTGAGCTATGCAGCTCTTTTTCAGAACCGACCTGGCCACAAGTTATAGCTCCACGAAGTGGCTTATTGTGTGCAAATTTAGAAAAACCAAATACTCTAAACAAGTCAATGCACACATCTCCCTTATCAATGGAATATTAAAGACAAGCCATAGTAGTGCAATTTTTGGCCATGCAACCATTATAATAGACCACTGTTTCATTACAGTAAAGAGTGCTCCTTAAATCGAGGAATAGCACAACTACACAGATTCTTTCCTGAAGGCTATCATGAAGGTACTACATTTCCTATAGCCCGCCATGGTTGAACAGCAGGAGGCAACGTTGCTTTGCCTCATCCCAGTTGAAGACTTTTGCAGGTACAGGCGACCCCCGCACCTACGACCTAATTGGTTCTTTGACGACGGTTGTCGAGCCATCGCAAGTCGAACCCTTATTTCCCATAGGTGTAATGTTGTAAATTGGGGTTCCGTTCCTGGAAGCCCATTTACATATCATAAAATAAAAAAATTTACCACAAAAATAAATAAAAATAACCCTAACAAGCATTTATTGTAATTTAACTTTTCCAAACATTTTTTTATTAAAAACAAACACATTTGAAAATCCTTAAGTATTTTTTTGCACGTGCATCACATTTCCTCTTCTCAGACGTAGCGAAAGGTCATCATTTACGAAAGGTGAAGGGCATTGCAAAAGAGAAGGGTTCGCTCTCGACGCAGCTGCAGACTGCCGGGCTATACTATACATATCCATACGGCAGAAGAGCAAAGCAGCACCATCTGACGACGAGTGTGTGCGTGACATGCGCCAACTCGTCGCCAATCGACTCGGCATTGGTAGCAGTCGTTAGGCGGTCGTAGATACGAGTTTGGTCATTACTGTGGGGGTCTTACAATAAGAAAGGTCTTAAAAGAGGGGGGTAACGAGCCCTCGTAAGTCGGGGGTTGCCTGTACGTTGTGCGTAGACAATCCAAAGAATGTGGAGCCATTGAGCTTGGCGTAGATTCTGCTGCTGCTCCCTTGCTGGCAGGTGGTGAAGGCATCGGGCCAGGACAGCCATAAGACGGACGAGCAGCACCGCGAGCTGTGCGACCTGGCTTTGCGTGGCCTCCAGCTGCTGTCCAAGTGGAGCGCTCACGTCATGGAAGTGGTGGGTACCCATGCGCGGACGAACTGCGCCCGGGTTAAAGCGTGGGGGGTGGACTCCGTGGCCTGCGGGCCATGACTTTTACTGTCACGCGGTCTGCCTCTCCACTCCAAAAATGTCCCACAAAGGATTTTTGTCAGTCACTGCAAGTTATAATCAGAATCTTTGTTTAGATTGGAGGAGGAATTTGATGAACTATGAAGCTCTTTTTTCACAGATGTCCAGTAAGGGTGGGTCGGCAAGTTACACAAACAACCAAAAATACTAAAAATTATAGGAGTGCAAAATAAAGAAAAAGGTTAGCAAGTCACTAAAAAGATATTCAAACTAAAGTATATGCCCGATTTATCAACACTACATACCAGCTTGGGCAAGGCAGCAGCACAACAACAGTCCCAGACCACACAAAGATAAAAACAACAGTCCCAGACCACACCAAGACAAAAACAACAGTCTGAGATAACACCAAGACAACAACACAGCCCCTCAATAGAAAATGACAGTCCTGATAGCACTCGCTTCTAAGATATGAGGACATTGCTTTCACATGTTTAATCAATAATCACCGTTCAATAAGAAAGCAGGCAAATTATTGCTGTGAATAAACTGGGTTTTTAATTGTTGCGAATTGATGGTCTTATAGTACGCCTTTTGGCGTCCTTTAGTCTAACACTGCTTTGAGACTAAGCTAAAAAAGAAAGCTGTCTCCGTTTCAAAGACAATGCATATATTATCAGAGTACAGTTTTTGTTTGCATTCTGACCACAAGTTGTGTGGTTAATGCAGACATGATTCCTTGTAAAAGGTTTCAGTTTGGTGTTTTAACATCTTAACACCTGTTTTGTTGGCAGAGAAAAGGGGAAAACCTATTCTCATATTGATTGTCTTCGTCCAGTTACTGATGTACGACATGTATACAAATCTTAATAAACTAGTTAATTTGAATCACCTATTTCGGCTCTCAGAATAAACTTTTGTTTTGTTTGCTATACGATGAACACTTTTTACGAGGCACATTAAAGGTGTGGCCTTGTGAAGAAAAGAGTAGGTGCTGTGATGCCATCTTCCAGGACCATTCACTGTCAGAGCAGGGCGTGTGCGTGCTGTTGTTTTGCGGACATCTCGACCGTTGCCTCGCCCCCGCAGTATTCCTGGAAGCTGGTGCATCCCACGGATAAGTTCTCCAACAAGGAGTGTCCGGACAACGCGGAGGAGTACGAGAGGGCCACACGCTACAACTACAACTCTGAGGAGAAGTTTGCGCTTGTCGAGGTGAAATTGGTTGTCGTGTTTCCGGGGTCTGTTCATCGAGAAAGTCGTTCCAGAATGCAGCGGAAAGACTGAACCGCACGTGGGGCAGCGTGGGAGAGCGGTGGAGGAACCGGTGGGAGAACGCAAACGTCTCAATTAAAGACACAAAAGTACTTGCCACAAATGAACCGCAATAACTCGCTGATCTCTTCAAGGAACATAAGCCATCACGCGAACTTTGGTCATCCTCGCAGCGGCGGATTTTTGGCTATTGAACAAAGATGGTCACTGCATTGCGCACTTTCAGATGGTTTGCCAAACGCTGCTCCGAGGATAACCAGAGTTTGCGTGATGGTTTATGCTCCTTGACAACATCAGCAAGGTTTTGTGGTTTATTTGTGGCAATCACTTTGTGTGTAATGAGTGTGACCTTATAATGTATTCGTTGAACAACCAGAAGCCAATGTAGCTCAGCGAGCGCTGGATGGACATTGTTGGAGCTCAAGTACAGCGAGTTGAGGCTCTCAGTCCACGTACCAATGAATGTATAAAGGAACCTAAATCTTAAATTTTGCTAAATTTCAGCTCTAAGAAGAAAATGTTTGATATGAATGTCATGTGACGAACATTATCTCAGTGGCAGAGCAGGTTGACCAGAGGTCACTGGAAGGTATTTCATAAGCAGCTCTGTGATATCTGCTTCCGTAGGTCATTCTCATCCTCCAGAGGATCACACTGCTATCTGAGACTTCTGAATGGGTATGCGAGCGTGTGCCGATGCTGTCGCGTTCCCTAATCACAACCCCCTTTCCAGGTGATGGCGATGGTGAAGGGCCTGCAGGATCTGATGGGCCGCATGGAAAGCGTCTTCAACCAGGCCATCCGGCACACGGTCTACGCCAAGATACAGAACTTCGCCAAGCTCACCCTGCGTGAGCCTCTGCGCCAGGCCATTAAAAAGAAGAAGAATGTCGTCATCAGGTCCGTGTATGCCTGTGCACTCGCAGGATAACCGAGACTTTACTAGCTACCACGAAAATGGAGTTGCTGTAATTTCATATTTGACGATACGATACAACATTAATGATTAATATCCACCTAACATGTCCTTTTTAATAAATGACAATTATTGGGTGGTCGCGTTGCCGAACGGTAGCGCTTTGGTCGCTTACTGTAGGGGGACCGAGTAGGCCATGCTTGTCGGCGTCGTGTTCCAAATTAGAAAAATTATCCCCAAATTTCTTATTGGGGAAAATATATGGCAACATCACCCCTGACTGCGAAGCATAATAGCAAGTGGACTATTGGAGACTGTGGTTTAACGCAGGTCTCTGTGTAGGGCTAGATGAATAGCATATGAAAACTAAACTATAAAGCTGTTTTAATTTTACCAGGTAAGGTCCGCTGAGCTATATAGCTCTCTTTTAGAAGTGACCTGGCCACAAGTGATAGCTCAGCAAAGTGGCTTTTCAGTTTCAGTTTCATGTATTAGGTATAACCATGTGAGCCATGCGGCTCTTGACTCGGGTGCAACCGCAACAAAACAAAAACATGAACAAGAAACATCTTAAAGTGACTACACGCAACAGAAAAATCCTGGAAAAAACAGCAAAGTCTTCCAGAAGTGCAATTGCTCACAACTGGTTGCAGAGACATCCACCTGTAAGCGACTCGATTGGATGCAACCAACCGCGCATCCATTCCCCATGTGCAGCGTGCTGCAGGCGATCCGCAAGACGTGCTGCGACTGGGAGGCCGAACCGGCCAACGACCCCTGCCTCAAGGGAGAGAAGGACCCCAAGAGCGGCTTTGAGATCAAAGTGGCACACAGGGCAGTGGGCCCTTCCAGCACTCAGGTGGGGGGCGGCTGCGGCGCACGCATCAACATGCGCGCCAACCCGTGTGCACCAGCGCGCGCATCAACACACGTATCAACACACGCACCAAGCCGCAAGTAGCTCCCGTGCCTTTCGCTCGTCGTGTTCCGCCTGCCAGACCCGTCCGCTTAACCTCGTCGGCCTGCATATCGCCGTGTTGCTGCGCTCAGACAGGTTTTGGTGGTCGTCGTGAAGCCACCTCTCACCCTTCCACCACCTCTGTTAACACCCAAAAAACATTGGGTAAGAGTTGGGCCGAAGGAGTGCAGTGGTGGGGCACATGAAGAAGGTGGGACCTAAAGAGAATTGGGAGGGGCCTCAAGCAGAAGGGTTGGGGCCTGCAGAGGTTAAAATTTCCTGTTGATTTAAAAGTCATGAAAGCAGAATATCAAATCTGTGCAGCAGAAGCATGGCTTTCATGCCACAGATGTAGCAGCAGGCCAACTTAGCATAGAAAGTAGTCCCTCTGTTAACAGTGATATCGGTTAAAGGTTTTTCGGTTAACGTTTTGCCTCCCATAGCGCCTCGTAGTTTCGACTGATGTTAACATTTTTATTAACGATAACGTACTTACGTAATCCACGCGGGTGCCAATTTTGGCCATTCAGAGTACTCGTTAAGTGGGCTGAGCAATGCCCTCAGCCAATGAGCGACTCCCATTTATAACCTTTTAGACCTCGACTGGCTTTGTTAACATTACGCATTCTTGGTGATTTTTTCTTATCTTTCAACCTATAAGTGAATTTGATTTACAGTAGATTTTGTGGAACGGAATAAAAACGTGAACTGAGGGACTACTGTACTGCAAATAATGAAATAATATACAATTACCATTTTGCTTACTTTTACATGCAACTAACACCATGACATTTTTTATTGTTTTTTCACTTAAAAACTTTTTTTTTTTAAAGTAACGCTTGGTGAAAGTTCAAGAGAAAATTTGTTCCGCACTAGACCTAACTTGGAAGACCACGCATTGGCAGAGGTTTGTGGTTGAGCCATCGCAGCCACCCTGCTAAACACTGCATGTGTGTTACCCCTGAACACACGCGCTGTCCGCTTCACAGTGGACTTTATTCATGCCGTGTGTGTTACCCCTGAACACACACGCTGTCTACTTGTTTACAGAGTAATGGCGGTTTGCAGGCCAGTGCTGCATTCTCCTTGTGGTGCACAAGGGACAGCTGCCACCGGGGGTCCCCTAGGCTAAACTACAGCGGTCATTTGAATGATGGAGATGAGATGGAAGGCGCTTTGAGTTTGCCGAGGCATTTAAGCATTCTAAACATATGATTCCGTATCCTTATTAAGGGTGGCTGTGAAAGCCTACGTGTACTAATGACATTGATTTTAATTATAATATATTTTTGGGTTAGGCCACGTAACGAAACGACCTAACGAAATGTGTGTCATTAAGAAAGCCCTCCACCACCCGACAAAGTTATTATTGTTTCAGCTCACTCACCAACAAGTCCAAGACCGATCCTCAAAACTAATTCAGCAATTATCTACGTTGCTTAATTTGAAACTACATCAATCATCATCAAGTCAGACTCGCCATCAAGGAGAGTGAATTCCTGGATTGTCATTCAGATCATTACACGGCCTAACGCAAAAATAAATTCTGTTGTAATATTGGCTGTGAAACCTGCAATGTGTTAAGTTGATGTTGTTGTTACTGCTGTGTTGACTGTAGCTGTACATGGTGCGTACCATGCTGGAGTCGCTGGTGGCCGACAAGAGCGGCGCGAAGAAGACTCTGCGCAGCACCCTGGAGGGACCGTTCATCCTCGCCATTGAGGAGTTCCATCGCAGCTCCTTCTTTTACCCCCACCTCCTCAACTTTGGGGGTGCGAACGCCCACCCATTCTCAATTATGGCAGCGGCAGCGGGGTTATCCGATTATTTGAGTAACCGTTTACTCGACTACTCATCATTGGATAACAAGAAGACAGTTGGGGAAATACACAATCTCCTCATCTGGATTGCAAGTTCAGTGTGCTAACCATTGCACCGCGGCAGCGTCCCGAAGCTGGGTGCTGCTGGCGTGCGCCACATTCTCGGCTTTACAATCAATCATCGCATAGCAAAGGGTCGTTGCGCGAAATGTGTGACCTCTTGCGACGGCATTTGCAAAGACTCCTCTTGGTGCCATGTCGGTGTCTCGAGTGATTTGTTTGTTACACGGATCACGGGGGATAACCACGGGGGGCGGCGCCATTCTTTAGAGACTTGTCCGTACTGCAGTCAACTGCCGTACTCCAGCTCGCAACACTTCTTTGTCTGCTTCTTCCTTTCCACCGTTCGACTTCGGAATTTTCTCTCATTGTCTCTCTACCTTGCTCGCATCCAAAAATGCATGAATGCTTATCTATCGTAACATTAAATAGTGCTTTTGGTTGCTGGCCGTTTGGAGTTTTGGGCCTTGGAGCCTGTGCACAAAAATGGTAAAATAAATTTTAAAATATTATAAGATGCACCCAAAACTATTGCTTTAAGGTACGGGGCACAAAGGTGCATCTTACAGTCCGGAGAATACAGTGGGAGCCACTCGGTCCACCTGTGAGTGACGATGTTTCTCGTTGTTACCACACAGAGGCCCTGCAGCAGTGCTGTGACCTCTCCCAGCTGTGGTTCCGCGAGTTCTTCCTGGAGCTCACCATGGGCAAGAGGATCCAGTTCCCCATCGAGATGTCCATGCCGTGGATTCTCACGGACCACATCCTCGAGACCAAGGAGCAGTCCATGATGGAGTGAGTTGATTGCAGACGCGCACGGCCGAAGGCAGAGAGGGGAGGTTCAGGCCCGGTGCACCACCAAGAGGAGAGTGGAAGGTTTGCAGCGAAGTGCGTTAAAGTGTCTTCTTGGTTCTTTCGGTAAAGTCACGTAGAATGGAAATTATTATTTCCATTCTACGTGACTTTACCGAAAGAACCAAGAAGATGAATCCCTGCAGTCACGAAAGCTTTAAATGCGTTAAAGTGGTTGCAACAGTGCTTGCCTGTGAATTTGCAGTCTGGCATTGCACTGTTAAGGGTCAAAATGATGAAGTTTTCACACGGAGGGTCATGGTGGTCGCAGAGTTGGAGTTAATGCTGCCTTAGGGGCTGGATATGTTACTGGACAGGGTAATAATCGCCCCATAATAACAAAGTCGCCCATGTCCAAATCGCCAGGAATGAGCCTGATCTTGTCGGATGTCAGAGGCTTTTATGCGTGTCCCGGTATACGGAACTCCGTGTTGAGCAAGAAAAGTGACTCTTTGCGGTGTACATCTATGCTCCCCACCTGTTCCAACTCGCACTGACCAGCACGGTGAACTGTCAACCTCCATACAGACCCACGCGACGAGAGAGACGCCCGCATCCAGCAGTGGATTGATGAAGCGCTTTACATACGCGCTTGCGTACAAAGGCCCGAGGCATGCTCTTGTGTCCACACCGACTACCTTCGCCCCCGATTCCTAAACGTAATGCCTTGATGGGCCATGTCTTGTTGCAGGTACGTCCTGTATCCGTTGGACCTGTATAACGACAGCGCTTACTACGCCCTCACCAAGTTCAAGAAACAATTCCTCTACGATGAAATTGAAGCGGAGGTAAAAATTCATAACTCACATTCACTCGCTCACACACACAAAACATGGACAAAGATTTCCTGTATAGCAGAGGTCGCAACCGGGTACCCGATACCCGTACCCTACCCGATACCCGGCTACCCGTACCCGGCCGGGTAGCCGTTTGCGACCCTGGTGCGGCCGGGTACGGGTAGGCCGTGAGTCACTGGTGAGTAGCCGTTTGTCACTCATTTCGGGTAGGGTACGGGTAGGGAACGGGTATCCGTACCCGGCCAGGTACGGGTACCCATTTGCGACCCTGGTGCGGCCGGGTACTGGTACGGGTAAGGAATCAAAACCCGTTTGCGACCTCTGCTGTATAGGCTACATAGACCGTGAGGGCAAGTGGTGTTAGCGAGCACCTGCTGAGGCTGTCACGGTGCGTGAGTGGGTGTTGTGGCCAGCCCTGTAATAGGTGCTTTTTGAAGGCCGATTTGACCCAAGGGAGGCCCAGAACTGGTTGGGATATCACTCGTTACTGATAATCTGCCAACGTATGATTTGAGAGTTGACTGTGCAAGGCTTCGGAGGTCAATCTGGAGCTCTACGTTCACAGGAGCAGACGGAGACTGCCGCTGTGCCGTGAATCACTTGTTTTGTGCACAAATTAAAATCGCAGCCAAATGGTGTTTTGGGTTGTGAATTCCTTTTCCTGACTAGTCAGCCCATACAACCTGGCACATGGTTCAGAAAACAGAACAACTGAAGAATCCACAAAGAAGTGTGGAGACATGCTTGGCAATGCATTGATGGACAGAAAGTGGAACGCGTGGATGAAGAGAGACACGGCTGTAGCCAATGGTCCAGAATAACGAGAGGAGTTGCAACCAAAGAATGGAACGCATCCAGGAGGATATACTTCTGAGGAGATGGAGCAATGAAATCAGCTCGTGTGCTGGGTGGATTGTTTCATTACGGAATCTATTTAACTAAACTATCAAATTATTTATATCTTACCATGTCAAGCCGACTGAGATATATAGCCCTTATTCAAAAGTGACATAGCCAGGAAATACATCTTATGGAAATGGCTTATCATGTGTAAATGTATTCCAGCCACATATACTCTAATTCGTGAGAGATGTCGGCTGATTTGGGAGGACTGCATCCAGCAATAGAATGACCATGGCTGATGATGTTGTTGGTGGTGATGACGACACGTTACACGTACACAGGCGATGATAGGACGACAGCAAACGTGACCTCTGGTACGGTTTGCTCCCTTGTGGACCTCCCCTCCCTGCTGCTCTCCTGCTACCCCCCCCCCCAGGTGAATCTGTGCTTTGATCAGTTTGTGTACAAGCTGTCAGACCAAATCTTCACCTACTACAAGGCGCAGGCTGGAAGGTGAGGTCATATCGCACACAGCCACTCACGCACCGCCCCCGGTTTCAGCGCTCCATGCTCTATGCAAGGGTTGGGTTTCCCGGCACACAGATTTCCTTAACAAAATCTCGCTCCTTCCATGAAGGCCATGTTTAGCTTGGAATTGTACGTGATTGCAGGACGATGTGTTTTCTTTTATTATTTAAAGCCTCACTGAGCCTCGAGACTCCTTTTGAGGAGCGTCCTGCCACAGTTTTGCAGGGCATATTTATCATTCGAATATTTGGCCAATAATATATTAGTGCTATATTTATAATATATATTAGTTGTATATTATGGATTTTTTTAGCAGTTGAAGGATACCGGAGAACCCGGATAAAATCCCATACGGAACATACAAACTCCATAAAGACTAAGATCCCCCGTATAAATCTTGACTTAAAGCTTTCGTGACTGCAGGAATTCATATTCTTGGGTCTTTCGGTAAAGTCACGTAGATAGGTTCAAATAAAATAACAAAAACAACTATAACGTTTCGATCACAACACAAGCGGTCGTCTTCAGGAAAAAGGGGGGTTAGCTTCCAAGCTACGAAATGGGCGTAGCTATACCAAAATTAAGAGATCCCACTAACCGCCTCGTTACGAAAACCAACAATATCATCACTGATTCAACATCTTTGATCAAACTAACCCAGCGGTCTGCTGCGAGACCACCCAGATTGTATGGTTTACCAAAAGTCCTTAAAGAAGGGACACCCCTTCGTACTATCGTCTCCACCATTGGCTCACCCGCCTACAAACTGGCCTGATTTCTGTCTGAGACCTTACAACCATTCACTGGTAAGACCACCTCAGCTGTACTCAACTCAGCTCACTTGGTATCGTTAATTAAGGACATCTCACTATCTCCAGGTGCTTTGCTCGTTAGTTTCGATGTGGTATCTTTGTTTACCAACGTTCCTGTGCCTGGCACCATTGCAATCATTGAAGATTTGGTCCATCAAGGACTGAATACTGATGTACCAGCCCTGGTGAGATACTGCCTCACCAACACTTTACCTGGAATGGAACATTCTACAAACAAGTTGGAGGTACCCCAATGGGTTCTCCCTTTTTTCCAGTTGTAGCCAATGTTTTCATGGAGAATTTTGAGACAGATGCCATCCAGGCATCCACTCTAGGTCTATCCTTGTGCAAGAGGTACGTAGATGACATGTTCGTCATCTGGCCACATGGCCAACCAGCTTTGAACCAATTCCTCAACCACATCAATTCCATACACCCAGCCATTAAATTCACCATGGAGGTGGAAAAGGATGGCAAGTTACCATTCTTGGATGTTTTAATCGAAAATAGTCCGGATGGCTCAATGGGACACTCTGTCTACAGGAAATCCAACCCATACGGATGCCTACCTAAAACCTGACTCCCACCACCATCCATCCCAGAAGAATTCCCTCATCAAATCTCTACACCATAGAGCTCGATGTATTTCAGACCGTCATCACCTAGCCAGTGAACTGGAACACGTACACCAAGCTCTCAAAATGAATGGATATTCAGACTACACAATCCGTAAAGCTGGGAAAGAACCATCTGAAAAACCAATCAAAACCATCACCTTGCCATACATAGCAGGGGTCACTAAAAAGATTTCCAAATTTATGAGCAAATACAAGATCCAGGTTCGATTTAACACAATACATAAAATTCGTGATCTGATCCCATCTGTGAAGGATGTGATCCCTGACATGCAATACCCCGGCGTCTACAAACTAAGCTGTGTCTGCGGCAGTAGTTCCATTGGGGACATGTCTCAGACCATGTTTGTGAACATAAGGCAGATCTGAAACACGGTAGGACCAATACCTCGGCCGTGGCTGATCATTGTTTATTGCGGTGGGCTCACACGAAATTGATTTATCTAAGACTTTGCAAGCCCACTGGCTATAAACAGAGATTCGTTCATGAAGCCATCCATATATATAGACACAGACACAATTTCGACCGAGAAGATGGGTACAAACCGAGGAATCATTGGAAGATGTTATCAACCAGTTTAAGTCATAATTGGCTATGATGTTCCCATCCTACCACGTTCCGATGTTAGTTGTGCCTTACCCCCATTTCAAACTTGCGCTTTCACAGTCACTTCACGCGCCGACCCCTCGGTTGCGGCGCTGCGATCTTCCATCAACATGCTAATCTCTCTTTAACATGCTAATTTTCACCTGGCAGCCTTTTGATTGGTGGAAAACCAACCACCGTTGGGTTGGCTGCCCACCACTTACATTATCTTTGGCCGCTGACATTTGGGCTACGCCCATTTCAAACCCTTATAAACAGTTTGCCTTGGAAGCTAACCCCCCTTTTCCTCAAGACGACCGCTTGTGTTGCGATCGAAACGTTATAGTTTTTTTTGTTATTTTATTTGAACCTATCTACGTGACTTTACCGAAAGACCCAAGAATATGAATTCCTGCAGTCACGAAAGCTTTAAGTCAAGATATATACTGGGGATCTTTGTCTTTAAGGAGTTTGTATGTTCCGTATGGGATTTATCCGGGTTCTTCGGTTTCCTTCAACTGCTAAAAACTCCCATAATATACAACTAATATATATTATAAATATAGAACTAATATATTATTGGCCAAATATTCGAATGATAAATATGCCCTGCAAATAACTATCTACGTGACTTTACCGAAAGACCCAAGAATATGAATCCCCCGTATAGCCTGAACAGACTGTTGGGGCAAGTGCTGTTAGCGAGCACCTATGAAGGCCGGCACGGCACATGAGGGGGGTGGGTGGCCAGCACCATGCCCGGCCGCCTTTGTCTCCCTAGTGACGATGTGTAAACACCGCACCAGTTACTAATTTTAGGCTGAGTCGACCTAGGGGATTCCCATGACTGGTTTAGATAATCGTCACTGGTATTGGTGGCTGGGAGCGGGAATCGAACTCGAGTCGCTGGGTTCGTAGTGCAGTGTAGCACTAACCGCAAACTACCGCTCCCCGCACACACTGTACACTCACTCGCACCCGCACACTCGCACTGCACAGTAATGCACTCGAGTCGGGAATCGAACCCAGACACTTTCTGCCGCGAGGTGCAGGGGTCACCACTGCGCCACCCTGTCGTTGCAATGACTTTACGCCCGCTATCCCGTGTGCAGTCTGCTGCTGGACAAGAGGCTGCAGACGGAGCTCAAAAACCTGGGGGTGTCGATCCCTCACCCCCCCTCCAACCGGTACGAGACTCTGCTCAAGCAGAGGCATGTGCAGGTGAGGTTTCCACGCCCGTTACCGTGGGCGTGTGCGGGAGCGTCTGTCGTGTGACGCTCGGCCGATTGCAAATAGATTCACATGGAACGGATCCAGACAGTTGCCTGTGATCAACTCTCCACCGAGTGGCGGCACTGTGGTTAGCGTTCTGCGGACCCTGTAAACGGAATAGAATGCATGGTCATGGCCAACTTCAGTGGTGTAGTGATATCTGAACTGGCTGGAGGAGCCCCCTTCACCAAGCTGCACTGACCAGCATGGTGAAGTATGTTAAAAACAACTCCCTTGACTGACATGGCGTGAGAATGCCTTCAAGCATTCGTTCGTTTCTCAATCCGCTTGTCCTGGTGAGGGTCGCAGTGCCAGCATGTTGAGTAGGGCGGTCCAGACCTCCCTTTCCCTGGTAACATTCTAGCTCTTTTTGGGGAATTCCCAGGCCTTCCGCGGCCAGCCGAGCGACATAGTCCCGCCAGTGTGTCCTGGACCGGCCCCCCGGGGTCTTTTCCCAGTGGGACGTGCCCGGTAGAGTTCTAGGGGGAGTCTATCGGGGGCATCCTTACAAGGTGCCCGAACCACTTCAACTGGCGTTGGACAGCTAGCCTTCAAGCGGTGGATTGATAAGGATGTCGTACATCCTAGTACTTGCATATGAGGGGATTTCATTTCTCCGTTTCCAAGACGGACGTACTTATGGCACGTTCCCTTCGTCATCGTTACATCTACGCAAACCGAACTATTGCGCACTTTTTCATCGCGGCCTCATTATAGCTGTGTGCTGTAGGCCCGGTGCGAGTGCCAGATGCTTACTCGCCGTTACTCTGCTTGTCCGTCCGTCCGTCCTTACGTGGCGGTGTTTTTGTGTTCCTGATTGCAGCTGCTCGGCCGTTCCATCGACCTGAACCGGCTCATCACGCAGCGCATCTCGGCTGGAGTCTACCGCTCCCTAGAGCTTGCCATCAACCGCTTTGACAGCGAGGACCTCACCTCAGTTGTGGTGAGTACGACCTCCCCGTCTCCCGTTCACAATATTTGTAATGCTGATAATATCGATGCCTGTCATATTTAAGAGTAGCCAACAGACTCAAAGTCCAGAGTGCTGGATTTGCTGAGATGCTCAGTTCATATGAAGATTTTGGCCTTATGTGACTAAATCGGGTTCTCAAGTGTAGCGAGTGAACGTTCTTAGCCCAGACACCAATGACTGCTAAACGACCTTCAATTTGGTTCCGCGCTTAATTTGGCTGTCGTGTAATGGACATTGCTCTCAGTGCCAGGACGTCGCTATCAATGCTGCGTTTCACGGAACCGTCGTCATTGTCATTGGCTTGTAGGAGCTGGAGGGGCTGCTGGAAGTGAACCAGCTGACGCACAAGCTGCTCAGCAAGCACCTGACGCTGGACGGCTTCGACGCCATGCTGCGTGAGGCCAACCACAACGTGTCGGCTCCGTACGGCCGCATCACCCTGCACGTCTTCTGGGAGCTCAACTACGACTTCCTGCCCAACTACTGCTACAACGGCTCCACACACCGGTGAGCTCTCCACACCGCCGGATTTCGTTGTGCAAACACCGTTTCACCCAGCGGCCGCTCCGTCCAGCGGCCGCTCCGTCCAGCGGCCGCTCCGTCCAGCGGCCGCTCCGCCCAGCGGCCGCTCAGCCCAGCGGCCGCTCCGCCCAGCGGCCGCTCCGCCCAGCGGCCGCTCCGCCCAGCGGCCGCTCCGCCCAGCGGCCGCTCCGCCCAGCGGCCGCTCCATCCAGCGGCCGCTCCGCCCAGCGGCTGCTCCGCTCGAGCCATTTAGCTCCCGAAGTCAGGAATCCACCGTTGCTCCTGAATACAGGGTGCTTAAAAAATTTTTTTTACACTTATATGGAACTATCGTTTTTCATGGAAAAATAATGGATAATACACTGTAACATGATAATATATGTATGTTAATAGCTTAAAAAGTCAGTCTCCACTTGTTTGCCATCATTGTCAATACATGCCTGGAATCTTCTCCAGGTGGTCTCCAGAGCCTGAAGGCGGCACGTTACTTATTGTATTGTTGTAATTTCTAAGAAGTGTTAACACTTCTTTGAAGCACCCTGTATCTAAAACGTGCAGTGGTTTCAGTAGAACAGACGTTACACAGTCAAACCGACATTCTGATTCTCAGAGCTGGAATTGATCCAAAATGAGATTAGAACCAAGTTTAAATCAGTTCATTTGTGCAGCCATTGGTAGTCGGTCTTAGACAATTAATTTGCTACATTTGAGAACCCGGTTCAATGGCAGTGGGGCTGCTGTCTGGATTCAAACCCAGGTCTCTACGGTGTCAACTCAACACTGACTTCTGAGCCACCAGGCCACGTCAATCCAACCTGCCCTATATTCCCCATTTGTATCTCATCTTTGTATTTACCTGGCTTGTTTTTTTGGTTGAGAAACTTTATCTGTCTCTAGCTGTTAGTTGATCGAGTTCAGTTGAAAATAATAATGTAATCATGGACGCACCCAGATTCCAACTAACAGCAGTTGATTTGTGTAGGGCTTCCGGTAACAATAATAATCGTATGTGTACACAAATACACTGACGTCACAATTGTTTTACCTATGTCAGTGCTTTTCTGGTAAGATGAGCATAATAAAGGGGCTGCTTGTGTAAGAAGTTTATTCTCAGATTTTGCCACTAGGTGGCAGACATATCACACGAACGATGACCGCACCACCATTGCACACCTGCGCATTAGAAGAGCAACGAGCGGTTATTCTATTTTGTCCTCTGTGGGAGTAAAGACAAGTTCAGGTGCATCAAGGAGCAATACTGTAATGTGGTGACAAGTCTACGATTGTCTGTGACTCTTCATGCCCGTCATTTATGAGTCGTTCTGCTGTGTGTGGAGTAAAATAACGAACATACCTTGAGGGGTCTGTTTCACTACATGAAGCGTAAAGTTGTATATCCGTCTTGTTACTTTTTGGTCCAGATTTGTCAGGACTCAGTACACCTTTGCCCAGAAGCTGGAGAGGGACAAGCCACCAAACGCGCAGCCACAGTACTTGTTTGGCACCAAGGTAAGACATCCTCAGAATTACACTTTAGAGACGGGGAAAGGAGCACGTGGACCAGAGAACATACGTAAATAGTCAAAGTTACCGTATTGGCTCACATAAGTATGGTACAATGTGGATTAAATCGGGGCACTAAATCAGGGCTTCGAAACCTTTGTCATTGCACGGCTCACTTTCGACCTTGCTTGATATTCGCAGCGTGGGGTTGGGGCTTTCGGCAGTCTGCTGCCGTCCTGTGCCAGGGCGACTGGCGGAGTTGGGTGGTGGATCGGCCACTGAACGGCACGGGGTGTCGTTTCTGCCCTAGCGTGCAAACAGTGAGGTTCTTTCCTTTCCTGTAATTCAGAAAATACCGCGACACATCTGGGACTTTGCCACGACGCACCAGCTGAGAGGGATAGTTTAAATAACCTCAAGAAGCGGTGCAGAGTGTGGGTGTTTATAATGTAGGTAGAAGCAATCATCGGTCATCGTCTCAGATCAAAATCCTCCTTATCTTTCGAAATCTCTCTTGTGATGTAGAGACATTTTGAGATGCAATGTGCGTGAATGACACCTTTTATAAATTATTCTTTTTGTGTGGCACATCTCATCTCAGGCGTTTAGCTGCACTATGCACCCCCATCTGTTTTTCCTGCCCTGGCCAGGCCCCGTTGACTCCCGTGGTGATGTATGGTGGGGGGGAGGTTGCCATTCATTGGTGTATTGAGTGGCTGGAATTCGTGTCGTTGAATCGTGCTGCACGTTCAAGTTGATGTGAATGTTGTGATTTTGGCAGTTGTTTGCAGTGCGCCGCACATCCGCCAAAAGCGGAAAGGCTCCTCCACCAGTTTGGCTTCGTGAGGTTCTGCTCTACCTTTAATTTGAAAATAACTCGAGTAGACGAGCAGTCTTCTTCTTCCGTATGGCTTTTGAAACAATCAACAGTCCACAATTGTACTTTGAATCTTGGAAGCCATTACATGGGCATCCATGGTAGCTGAGTGGCGTCTGCTTGTTGCACCGGAATACGCGTCTCATTTAGCGCTTTGTTTTCACTCGCATAACCTTCGCGCCCAACCTCGTCAACACCTCGCAAGCTAAGAATGGTTGAGCTTGGATAGTGCTTGGATGGGCGATCCCCATCGAGCACAAACATAGGCGGACGCGGGGCCAAGTGCTACCTGGCAGCCGGTAGAGAGTGGTTTGTGAAAACATCCATTACTGAACTGTACTTCTTCGCTTGCACGTCAAAGCTCCCTGCTTTAACCAATGCCATTCTGACCATCGTGGCGAAGTACGGTCAAATGGCACTCGCAACCCGCACAGTCGTCACAGCGAGGCCATTGTCCAGCAGCCGAGTGACCGAAGTGTTTGCGTTGTGCACTGTCGTAGTAAACGCAGTGCTTAATTTGCATTGTTCCTCTCGCATTATGCGCGCGATGGCGCCGCGTCGCACAGGCACTCAACACGGCCTACACGTCCCTGTACGGCTCCTATCGGTACTTCCTGGGCACCCCTCATCTGCGATCCATCTGCCGACTGCTGGGGTACCAGGGCATTGCCGTGGTGATGGAAGAACTTCTCAAAGTGGTCAAGAGTCTGGTAAGAGCGGTTCCTTTCCTAGTGCAATGCACGCAATCCACAGTGCAGTGAAACCCCAGCTGTCCGCACTCGTAGTTACGGGTGGCAGTGCTAACAGCTGTGGGTGAAACGGCAAGAAGTCCGTGGCTTTGATTCCTGACTCAGGTGCCTTTTATGTGGGGTTTGGTATGTTCATTTAGACACTTTCATTTAAATGGTATTGACCAAACATCTCAATGCTGACAAATTTGTAGCAAATTTTTCAATTGGGATAAAAAAAGACAAAGATCCACTGTATACTCTTTGGTTCTTTCGGTAAAGTCACGTATAAAGATAAAATAATAAATTAAATAATTGCATACTACGACGTTTCGATTGCAACACAAGCAATCATCATCAGGTATAAAAGAAAGAAATAGCAACAAAAATCTAACCAGAAAACTGTAGACAGACATATAAGCAGACAGATATCACAAAGATACACAGAGAGAGGACATGCATCGGCACAAAGAGAGAGATCGTCTCTGTGACGGGGCCTTAAATAGAGAGAGGGGGGGGCGGGGTCGGAGAGAGGGAGGGGGCAGAGGAAAAAATAGCATGTCAATGAGTAGGATGACGTGTGGTACGGTACGCAAGCTTGAAAATTAGGAGAAAGGGAGAAAGACACACTAAAATTAAATAACCTAGCAAAATATCGAAATGTAATGTAATGCAACACAGAGAGTCGGTCAACACACAATTAACACATAGCCTGGTCGATTACGTATTTCAAAGATTGCTAAGTAGTATGCTATTATTTAATTTATTATTTTATCTTTATACTTGACTTTACCGAAAGAACCAAAGAGTAATTCCTGCAGTCACGAAAGCTTCAAATTAAGATTGATCCACTGTATAGCCTTAACAGACTATTGGGGCAAGTGCTGTTAGTGAGCATCTATGAAGGCCTGCACGGTACACTAGGGGGTGGGTGGCCAGCACTACGCCGACCGCCTTTGTCTCCCCAGTGGCGAGGTTTACATTTGAGGCTGAGTCAACCTAAGGGAGGTGGCCCAGGACTAGTTCAGATAATCGTCACTGGTGTTGGCTGTGAACGGGGATCGAACGCGGGTCGCCAGGTTTTATAGCGCACTCATTTAGGATCACACAGCAGCAGCAGCATGGCCCCCTTACTGCAAAAATTGGGCCAGATGGTTATGATAAAGTATTGAGACTCAGTCTGGCTTTCCTGGGTGAACAAGCAAAGTAATAATGACAATTAAAGTGGGGAACCCTGGCCCGGATATCTTGCAATTCTGACGGGCTGAAAATGCATTGACAATCAATTTGACAAAACCACATGATAACAACCCAGCGTGTACGTGCCTTCATCAGTGTACCATCATCGTGTGTGGTGTTTAGGTGTTTGACTGCACACAATAAAATCCAACAGTAGCTTATCAAGTTTTACATATTTGGCCTTAAATGTATTACATTTAACTAACTGTCATTGGTTATGCACTAAATTCAATAGCTTTCATAATTTTAAATATCAATCGCTTAATCTTTTTTGTATATATATAATGCAAAGTTCAAACGATACCACGGTAAATTAAAAAAATGGAAATGATGTTTTGAATATAGTTTTAATAATTTAAGAAAAAAATGTCATAATGTGATTGTACTTTTGACTGGAAGAGCACGGAGTGATCTGATCATGGAAGTGACATCATTTGATACAACAAACTATTTTTTATTCTACCAGGTAAAGGTCCACTGAGCTTCCGGTAACAATCATAATCGTATTGTTTGCACAAGTAAACAGACTACTCTTAATTCTGCAACCTATTTCAGTGCAATTCTGGTATGATTTGCATAATGAAACTACTAAAATATTTGTTATAAATTTTACTAGGTAAGGTCCACTGTGCTATATAGCTCTTTTTCAGAAGTGACCTGGCCATCAATGATAGCTCAACGAAGTTGCTTATCGTGTGGAAATGTATAGCCAAATACCAGAGATGTGGACTCGAGTCATGTGACTTGGACTCGAGTCAGACTCGAGTCATGAATTTGATGACTTGAGACTCGACTTGGACTTGCATAACAATGACTTTGTCCCACCTCTGAGGTGTGGACTCGAGTCATGTGACTTGGACTCGAGTCAGACTCGAGTCATGAATTTGATGACTTGAGACTCGACTTGGACTTGCATAACAATGACTTTGTCCCACCTCTGCCAAATACCCTAAAAGCATGTTTACTAAATGTGAAGGGAAAAACCGGAGGGCTGGAGAAAAATCCACACGACCACGGGGAGAACATGCAAACTCCAAATATAAAGGCGTCAGGATTGGGATCGAACCCATGACCTCCTGTATACCAGGCAAGGTAGTTAACATCTCGCCACCGTGGCGCCTTGCAATGGCAGAGCCAGGATTTTCAGGTAGGGGGGGCAACCCCTCCAGCAATAAATAAGTATAACCCGTAAAAACAAAGTTTTTCACTATAAATCCTTTATATGCGTGGTTGCTAGAGTCCTCTCGTCCTCTGGCTTGAGATGGCTGCCACCTATGGGTCAGATGATTGTCTGCCAGTATTAAGCAATTGGTAATTAAATATTTAATTTGTTTTCCCTAAACAGTGTAAAATTTTGGAAACAATTTTTCACGAACATTAATTGTCTCGCACAACGAGTCTGTGTGCAAAATGTCAGCTCGATTGGATCACGGGAAGTGGGTTAAAAAACGACCGAAAGATTTGCACGGTCGTAAGCAAGCAAGCACGCAAGCACGCAAGCAAGCAAGCGAACTTAATATAAAGGATTTAAAAATGATCGGAGTTGTAGTAAGTATGGACTTGTCCCTTGCGTTTTATTCGACGCGTGTGCGGCGATGGCACAGCCATCGATCGAGGGTCGAATTCGAACCACGTGTGATCGGCATCGCGCTTGCTTCAGGGAAGTCGTGGACTTTATACGCAACTGTGCACAATTCCATTAGTCACTTATAACTGCTTTGCCGTTACTTATTGCCAATTATGGACTCAGACTATTGTCCTATCATTTCATAGAGTCCCTGGCGCATAATAATATGCTACACAGTGGCAGTGGGGGTCGCAAAATCACGATTTATTACTAATGAGCCCCAATGATCCGATCAAAAGTAGGGATTTCGATCGGATCATTGGGGGGGCACGTGCCACCCCCCCCCCCCCCCCACTGGCTCCGCCAGTGGGGGGGGGGGTGGACATCACACTTTGTTATAGATTCAAAACCAAAATGCAGATCTTCCAAAAAAATTCATATCGGATTCCGATTTTGTGATTATACGGATTTATCCGAAAACCGAGTCTGTTGTCCGCAGCGTAGGACTGTGAAGGGACTGTGCGGGGAGGGGGTTGTGGTTAACTTCGTCTGTCTCCTGCACTGTGCGTCCATTGTCCCACAGCTGCAGGGCACCATCCTGCAGTACGTAAAGACACTGATGGAGGTGATGCCCAAGATCTGTCGCCTCCCGCGCTACGAGTACGGCTCCCCAGGTCGGTGCTCGTCCCCTGTGCCTGGGGATATTCGGCTGTGGCTACCTGTGGGCCGCTGAATACAATTCGTGGGGGCCACGTGACGTCACTTGTACCATGTTTATATTGCCATGCACACGTGTGTGTGTGTATGTGTACGCTTGTGTGTCGCTGTTGTGTGGGGAGCGATAGGGCAGGGCTTAGCGCGCGGCATTATGAACCCGGCCAGACGAGTTTGATTTCCGCTCACGGCTAACAACAGTGACGATTATCTTAAAATCACCCAATTAAAATCACGAAATTTTTATCTTGAATTTATTTTTTCAACATAATTGTGGTTATTAAGTTCTTTTTCATCTGTAATTGTGGAACGCTTCTTAGCTCAACGTCCATTACTGAGTGGGAAATACACTCCTGGTTGTGACCCCGTTGTTTGGTGGCACAGGAATCCTGGAGTTCTTCCACCACCAGCTCAAGGATATCGTGGAATACGCCGAGCTCAAGACCGACGTCTTCCAGAGCCTGCGCGAAGTCGGCAACGCCATCCTCTTCTGCCTCCTCATTGAGCAGAGTCTAGTAAGCTGCACACCGCTCGCTCCACTCCACCTTCTTCGTCGTTGTTTGATGATGTTCCTTCATGTTCACGTGTCCCCTTATACCTGCCGCTGTCATTGCTGTCACCACTGCTGCCGTGCTGCAAATAAGACTCGGGACACTCGCCTTTACCTCTAATACACCTGGTTCATCATAAGACACCTGAGCGGGAAAGTGATGGTGTTAAGTGCTTTATTAATGTAGTGAGAGGGTCTCGGGTTTCAACGGGCGATTAATAGAGTATAAGGACACCTGGTTCGTTTAGTACCCAGTAGACAAGGGGGACGGACGCTTGGATGGCTCGTGTATCACTGTCGCTCTGTTAACCGAGAGTAGACTCTCCATCCCCTCCTCCACATGTGCCCACAAGTAGTATACTCTGCTCACGCAGCCTCTCGTGTGTCGAGCACTACCGAGGCCTATGTGGGCTGCGCGCGCATCGCTACTAAAACAAAGTGCCGGTGGCTTTCCCCCCCTGTAGTCACAAGAGGAGGTGTGTGATCTCCTGCATGCCGCGCCCTTCCAGAACATTCTGCCCCGCGTCCACGTAAAAGGTGAGGCTGCACCACTGCGACCGTTTCGCCTTTCATGCTCCCCATCAGTACCACCACGCAATGTACGGATTATGTATGTGGAACTTCTTTCGCATCGTATAGCCAACCGTGCTAATCGGAGGTGCGCCAAGACTATGTAACGCCCTGCCACCTGTGGTAACGCAGGCGAGGTCACCCACCTTATTTCGGTTTTCTCTAAAGACCGAAACAATGTTGCCTAGCCTACACTTCCCATGTATGACCAGTGGACTCTGCACTATTTATATTTCCTAAATTCATGAATGGCACACTGAGATCATTGGATGAATTGCGCCTTATAAATGTCAATTATAATTATTGTACCTCACAAGTCCTTTGCGGCACATTTCGCGGGCATCCGGCAGCAGGTGGCCCTGCCGGCAGCTGTCGCTCACAAGCTGAACGCAGCTGCAGCAGCAGCCAGCAAGTGGGCCGGAGTCTGCCAGTAGCGTGTGATGTGGTCGTGTGGCTTCCAAATTTATCTAATTTAGCAAATTGGGCCGATTTATTTTTTTCTCTCTCCAAAATCCAGCAATGAAGCTGAATTTTCTTTTTAAATTGGGCCGAAGTGCAGAATTTCAGAACAAACTAAAAACAGTTCCATTTTGACAAAAAAAAATGATGTCACAGGATGCGAAATCGCCTTCCCAATGCCACACCCGCTCTCCACCAACCATGGCATTGTGCCGTTGCGGGTGATGCAGCGTTTTTAGAATGAAGACACGTTACATTTTTACGTAATGTACCACATGTTCAAGTGTTAAATGATAATTTTATTATTACGTAATAATTTTACGCTGTCAGATTACTTTATAGAAAAAAACGGATTTTATGTTTTTATCTGAGACTCGTTGATCGTTTGTGGTTTGCGTGCACAGAGGGGGAGAAGCTGGAGGCGAAGATGAAGCGGCTGGAGAGCAAGTACCAGCCCCTGCACCTCGTGCCGCTCATCGAGAGGCTAGGGACCCCTCAGGTGACTCCGCAGTGCCAGCTGTCGTCCCCAGTGGCTGGCGAATCGGCCGGTCTACTGATGGGAGGCTGCCCCGTCTCTGCTGCCCCTGTGTTTGGACCTCTTTAAGAACTAGCAACATCGGTGTTTGTCATTGGAGGGCAGGGTGAGACCGGCTTGCGACGCGTGAACGCCCGGTGGAGGCCCTGGCTCGCCGTGCCTGTGTTCGAATCCAGGACCTGGCGATGCCAACTCGGCTCCATCGAACTTTTGAACCGCTTGGCCCGTAAATATTTAAGAGCGGGCGCTTGCACAGGTCGCAGGAGTGGAGCCTTGCTCATTGCCACAGTGGAGTGACACCGCACGCTCAGTAATCTTCATGACCTCACGTGCCTTCTCATTTAATGTGTGCCTGCGCATCGACTCGGCCTCAAATGGATACCTGGTGGGGTGTGCAATCGTTGCTGTTCAGCCGGGCGTGGTGCTGGCCACCCACCACTCTCTCGTGTGCCGTGCCAGCCTTCATAAGCACTCGCTAACAGCACTCGCTCCGACGGTCTGTTAGAAACTACACGGATGATCCTTGTGCGTGTGTCTCGCCACAGCAAATAGCGATTGCACGCGAGGGCGACCTGCTGACAAAGGAGCGGCTCTGCTGTGGCCTCTCCATGTTCGAGGTGATCCTGTCGCGCGTACGCGCCTACCTGGACGACCCTGTGTGGCGGGGGCCGCCCCCCACCAACGGCGTGATGCACGTGGACGACTGCTGCCAGCTCCACCGCCTGTGGAGCGCCATGCAGTTTGTCTACTGCATCCCCGTGGGCACCAACGAGTTCACCACCGAGTGAGTTCTGCCGCTTGCCGTTTACGTCCACGGTGGTGGTGGCGGCGGTGTTTTGAATAACGTCAACCCAGACGCTTAACCCGTTGTACACTCGTTGATCTGCGTGTTGGACCTATCGCCTTACTCGGATCTGCGTGTTGATCTTATCACCTTCTCACTCAATGACTCCCTTGTGCGCCGTGCCAGCCACAATAGTTGCTCACTGACGGTGCTTGTCGATACGGGAATCTGTATTTGTACCTGTGCTTGTGTATCTGTATTTTAAATGTATTGTACGTGTGTACCCTTGGGGAGACAAAAGTGGCCAGGCATGGTGCTGGCCAAGCTGCCGTCTGTGCTCTATTGCACCGTGCCGGCTTTCATAGATGCTCGCAATTGACCCGGCAGCTTTAAAAGTCTATACAGGGGATCTGTCTCTTGCATCTCTGCTTGTATCCGGTTGTGTATCTGATTGTGTATCTGTGTGTCCGGCTGTGTGTCCGGCTGTGTGTCCGGTTGTGTATCTGGTTGTTGTGGTAGGGAGCGGTAGTGTAGCGATTAGCGCGCTGCGCTACGAACCTGGCCAACACCAGTGACGATTATTTTAACCGGTCCTGGGCCTCCCCTAGGTCGACTCAGCCTCAAATGAGTACCTTGTGCGGTGTGTAAACATTGTCACTGGGGAGACAAAGGCGGTTGGGCATGGTGCTGGCCACGCACCCCCTCGTGTTCCGTGCCGGCCTTCATAGGCGCTCGCTAACAGCACTTGCCCCAACAGTCTGTTAAGGCTATACTGGAGGATCTTTGTCTTTGTATCCGGTTGTGTATCTTGTGCGTAAACCTTTGTTGTTCACAGGCAGTGCTTTGGGGATGGCCTTCACTGGGCCGGCTGTTCCATCATCATGCTGCTGGGCCAGCAGAGGCAGTTCGACATGCTGGACTTCTGCTACCACCTGCTCAAGGTGCAAAGGCACGATGGCAAGGATGACGTCATCAAGAACGTGGTGAGTCGGCGAAGCCTTGCGAGCCCCAGGTCGGAGGCTCGCAGCCGGCTCTGCTCAGGGTCCCAGGAACCATGGCGTCACTGGCGCGCTTTCCCTGCCATCGTTAGTGGTTTTACTTGTGCTTAATTCATTTGCAAATTGTGGCTTTCACCCTTACCTGTGTAGCAATATTTCTATTATATTGTGCAAAGTTATTGAGGGACTGTGTTGTTGTTGTCCTGGTGTGGTTTGGGATTATTGTTGTTGTCTTGGTGTTGTCTGGGACTGTTGTTGCTGTTGTCTTGTGTGATCTGGGACTGTTGTTGTTTTGGTGTGGTATGGAACTGTTGTTGCTTTGTTGCCTTGCTAAAGCTTGCTTTTAGTGTTGACAAAATAGAGTGTTTGTTCTTTTGCAATTTGTAAATGTTTATTTATTGAATTTTTCCATTCCTATTTTTTTTGTGTTGTTGTTGTAAATGTCTCACCCGCCCCTACTGGACATCTGTGAAAAATAGCTTCATATCTCATCGGATTCCTCCTGCGGCATCAAGTCTGATTCTGATTTAATTATTACAATTAAACCGCATGGTCACGTAAAAATTATTGCAACAGAACTTTGTGTTTATCTTAAACATTGCAATTGTTAATATTTACATTCATTAAAACGATAACATTTTCTGCACAAATAATGACACATTATAACAATCGAACACATAGATAAATGAAGCGTGCATTGAGATTATTTAGATTATTTTGGTGCTGTAAATGTCCAATGATGAGCCACTTTGTTGAGCTATCACTTGTAATAGCCAGGCCACTTCTGAAAAATGAGTTAATACCTCGGTGGGTTTTGCCTGGTAGGATGGGACTGGTTTAGTTTTATTTGTACGTGTTTGGGTGATGTACACCTTTCTTGTACTTTGCACTGCTATCGTGTTTGTGCACTTTTTGTTGTTGTGGACGTTCTGACCCCGTGCCCCCTACTGGGCATCTGTGTAAATGAGCTTTGTAGCTCATCGGATTCCTCCTCCAGTATAAGAAAATATTCAGATTTTGGTTCTGAGAATCATCTTCATCATCAGCCATGCTCATTCAACTGCTGGACGAAGGCTTCCTCAAGACTTTGCCATCTCTCTCTGCCGCGTTCCCTTCGGCGGCTGCCGCTCTGTCGGGAGGCGGGATACTCGACCGTCGGCCATCGTCTCAAAATCCGATAATTCGATTCTTTTTATATTTGACGTGAAGTTTATTTGTGGCGACCGCCCCCCCCCCCCCTCCCGATTTGTGCAATGCCAAATGCGCGTGCGGTCACTCTGTCATTGCAGCCGCTGAAGCGGATGGTGGAGCGGATCCGCAAGTACCAGAGCCTCAACAACGAGATCTTCGCCACGCTCGGCAAGTACCTGAAGGCGGCCGACGCCGAGGCCATGCCCATTGAGCACGTGCGCTGCTTCCAGCCGCCCATCCACCACTCGCTCGCCAGCAACTGAGACGCGGAGCTGGAGACCGAGGTGGGGGGGGCGGCGGAGGCTCGGGGGGCGGAACGAGAGTGCAGTAGAGAGAGAGGGAGCCGGTGAGAGGGAGGTAAATGGGAAATACGGCTCGTTACCTCTCTCTGGCGGTTCTTGCCTGTGGTTGCAACCGTCGTGCCGGGAGGTGTGGAATCGAACCAGCAGCCTCTAGACTGCAAGTCAAGGGGCTGCTGACCTTTACTCCGCAGCTTGATTTTTCCCTTTTTTTATTGAATGCTTCTTTTTCTTTATAACGCTTTTGGGACGAATATGTAATGGGTGACGTTTAGAGCGGCGAGGGCCCTTCCTATCCGAGTGGTCATAGCTAAAGAGCTTCTGTCTGCTATGGAGAAGAAGAAGAGCCTCTTCCTTACCCATCCTGTCATAGATGCGGTTATAAACTAAACTAACTTTTTATTTTACCAGGTAAGGCCCACTGACCTATGCAGCTCTTTTTCAGAAGTAACCTGGCAACAAATGCTAGCTCAACGAAGTGGCTTACCATGACATGGAAATGTATAACAGCCAAATACTCTAAACCCCTGTTGATTCTAAATGTGGAGGGAAATACTGGAGGACCCAGAGAAAAATCCACGTGACCACGGGGAGAGAGACACACAAACTCCAAATATAGAGACCTCGAGGACCTCCCCAAGGTCTTCCTGATCGAGAATGGCTCCTTGGAGGTGTCCCTCAAGGTCCCCTTTTGTAACTTCGCCGCTTGAATCTCTTCTGCCTGTTTGCTGTATTGGGATATAGTTTTGTAAACGGTGAGTGCTGTACAGGCGCGTGCACTCTCTCCCGGGCGAGTCGGTGATGATGCACTGTTAGCGGGTGCGGCGGTTGGCCCGCAATCGTGCGTGGGGAATCCACACGCAGGGAAAAAAGAGGTGCCTTGAAAAAGCAATGCAGAAAGTAGGCTGCTTACCTGCCTGTGCGCGGAGTCTTGAGTGTGAGACTCCGCACAGGATTGGAGATGCTGACACTGTCATTCACACTTAACACACACTAGCCAAGCCTTTTGTGTTTCATTATCACCGCCTTGAACATTCTTCGAGAGGTAGGGAGTCCAACCCGGGTCACCTCACCACACTTATGTGGACGTAGGCTGAAGGGAGATGCAACACAAACGCGCAGTTTCCTCGTTTGCTTGTCTACGGCAGAGGGAAATGCTGCCCGTCTGCAGTGAATAGGACGTCAGAACTTAAACCCATAACCCATCTCGTCTCCCGGACCAAAGGCAGCCATTTACATTCAAACATTCATTGGCTGGCTCCCACAATGCACTGTGAACTGTAGCTGTCATGCCGGCTCCCACAATGCACTGCACACGATGTCTCCATAGTTCCGGCTCCCCCACAATGCCCTGCATGTACGGCAGCTACACTGCCGATGGTGGCAGTTGGGATACTTTTTCTTTTGTTTTCATTCGCAAACTTAAAACTCTGGTCTCAGACTGCCTGACTCACACAACTTATGCATGCAGCTCCGCAGTAAGAGCCGTGCAATGTTTGGGTTGCATCTTCCCTTTAATCGAGGCTTCTCCGAGTTGAGGGCGCATTCGTTCTACGCGCCATTCATGCAGATTTGAAAGCGTCCGGTCACTGTGTCCGGCTGTGCCTTGTGTCACTCGCATAGAACGTTAGCATTGCGTTTTTCGTGAGTGGGCTTGATAATAATTATACAGATGATGCCTCACTGTTGGATGTGGTCTAGAATGGGACGAGGACTCGATGGCATTTTATGCAGTGCCCTGTCAATGTGCCTTAATCTCGTCTCCAGCAAACGCCTTACCACCAGACCAAACGTAAAATTGGCATTAGTAATTTATTTCCTTTTCTTAGAACTGTATTGGGGGAAGCGTTTCACAGATGTGGGTGTGCAATGTGAGTTGGTTTTGATGTATGCAGCGGACAATGATGCTGGGTAGTGTGTGAGAGTGCACATGCGGAGTGCACGTCAAGTTAGAATGTCTGTACTCTCCGGATTGTAAGACGCAATAGTTGTTTCCTGTGTTTGTAATCGATTCGATGTCGTTGTCTGTGTTTGTGTGACCACATTTGTGTAACATTGACACCGGCCACAAGTTTAGGATCGCGTCTTACTTTTCGTGAGCATCATATAATCTGGAGAATACGGTAATGCTGTTTGCGGAAAGCCTTTTAACTGTTACCAAATAAGAGTTTGGGTTTTCCCCCCTTGGACATTGATGCTGAGCGGAGTGCGGGCACATGTGTGGCTTTGCATTAGCAGGCTGGGCTGAGGGGTTCGCTGTCGTTTGCTTTTTGGTCAAAGCCTTGGCAGAGCTAGCTTATTTTCGTGTCCAAATGCGATGCACCGTGGATTGACGAGGAGTGGAAATGCCGTGGCGCAGCGTGATCCGTCGTTGCACTCCCCCCCCCCCCCCCCCCCCTGCTGTTTTGTACGCATCAAATATGAACGGGGAGGTTTTAACAAATACCACGTGTGGATCTCATGAACCCGGATTCCTCCGCTTGGCCTTTATATAGAAAAAAGCCACACGAGGGACGTGCAGTTGGTTGACCAAGCGCGTGTTTAAACAGCGCCGTTGCGTGCGACGAGCGGCGCCCATGGAATGTGCTTCCTCCTCCACCCCCCTCCTCCTCCTCCCCCCTCCTCCTCCACCGCCTCCTCGCACTCTACTTGTGCGTTTTAAAGTGAGGTAAATGCGCAGCGCTGCATTGCCCTAGTCACGCCGCGGAAGGGCCTCCACTGGGGCAAGCGCTGGAGAGAGGCCCCTCTAGAAGTGTCATTTTTTTGCTCATAATGACGACACAATAATATTTACACGATCTAACCCAAAAACACCTTTATGTATAATATTGGTCACGGAAGGCTACATGCTAAGCTGGTAATTTTGGCCTACACCTTCATGCTGCCCAGACGTTTTTGGAAGAGGTGGGATTTTCCCACATTTTACTCCACCACCTACAACCAGCTGATCAACACAGACTGTGCTGTATGTAGTCGGGGAGGGGTGGGGAGGGGATTGTAAGAAACGTTTCCCCTTGTTCTGCGTGTGCTTCCATTTCCAGCTTGACCGTAAGAATAGTAGAGACAGTCACCGGGTTACGGATGGGTTATGTTCCCAAAAACGATCCATAACCCGAATTTTACATGTCGGAAACTGAACAATTTTCCCCCAATATCAAGATAAATTCCATTTACCTAATCCTAATGGAGCTAGAGCGAGGCATAAGGCTGCCCGTCTTACGCCTCACTCCAAGGTATTCAACCTCACCACGCTGCACTACTTGCGCTTACCTGACTTGTAAAAAAAGGTTCAATACGCGGAACTTTGTGCATGATTTATAGGAGCATTTCCGTAAGGTCAGATTTACGTATGTCGGATCTTCTGAAACCTGGGGACTGCCTGTATTTTAGCAATCAACGAGCAGCGTTGTGAGGATGAGGGCTGTAGCTTATGGCACTGGCGATGACGGCTCTCGAGCAGCCCAGACAGGTGCCCCCTAATTGAAAGGTTTGGCACATTGTACTCCCACCGTGTTGACTTTTGGCCTGTCCTGCAGAGTGACGTGTTCTGACGTGCGATACCGGACAGTCCCTCCGCTGCCTCCTTGCGCCACCGCCAGTCCTTGTGTATTATCCCAATCTATTTGACAAGCAAAAAAAGCCAAGATTTAATTTGAAACGCCTGTGGCCGAGTTTCTATTTTGCTGTATATATTGGCAATTCTTGAAAATGAATGTCCTTTGAACATTCTCGTATTCACCCCTTGTGCTGTATCGCCACTCGTTCTGTGTCGGGTAACAGGATTTTAAGCCGCATCCCGCCACCCCCATGTGTGCGAGGGGCCACGGAGTTGTGCGCTTCTCTTGGCTGCGTGATAAATGCATTGACCGCGTTAAGCAGAGTATCAGATTATAGCGGCTTGGCCTTATTTGCGTTTGTTGACGGTCGGTGGCCCATGCACGGTGAACATGTGGTCCGGGCGGCCGTGTAGACAAGTGCCCTTTAGCCATTGTAATGGAGCTCCACACTTTAACACAGCCGTCCGCTCGCTCTACACGGTAGCAGGAGTCGTCGTAGGAGATGCGTTCCGAAAAAAGACACGAGGAGACAGCTGCCTGCCGAGTAGCTCATAAAGTGCACGCAGTACACACACACATTACACACACACATTACACACACACTTTACACACACACACATTACACACACACACAATACACACACACACAATACACACACAGCGCACACACACACACTACACACACACACTACACACACACAATACACACACACACTACACACACACACTACACACACACACAATACACACATTACACACCACACAATACACACACACACATTACACACCACACAATACACACACACACATTACACACACGCATTACACACACACACATTACACACACATTACACACACACATTACACACACACACACAATACACACACAGTGCACACCCAGTCCACACACACAGTCCACAGACAAAGACAGATATCTCCCTAATAAGGCCGGAACAGCACACGAGGGGGTGTGTGATCAGCACCACGACCAAACTTTGTCTCCCGATTGCCAATGTTTACACACTGCACTCTGTACTCATTTGAGGCTCTGTCGACCTAGGGGAGACCCTGGACCGGTTCAGATACTCATCACTGGTGTTGGACGTGCGCGGGGATCGAACTCGGGTCGCCAGGTTCATCGCGGGGCGCGCTAACCGCTGCACGACCGCTCCCCACAAAGTACACACACCCAGTACACATATACAGTACACACATACAGTACACACACACAGTACACACACACAGTACACACACACAGTACACACACACAGTACACACACACAATGCACACACACATTGTTGTCCCACGTCCGACCGCATAACTGCATCTGAGTGAATTCAAATTGCAAAAAGCTAATTTTGGATAGGGTAGGTTATGTTAGCTGCATGTGTCCAGAAATTGTACAAACTGAACCTGCACAGAGCGAGGGGAACGTGGACTACAGAGGTGCAATTCAATACTCTCTGGCTCTTTCGGTGACTTTACCGAAAGAACCAGAGACTATGGGTTCCTGCAGTCACGAAAGCTTCAAATCAGCAATTCAATGAGTCGTCACGACGTGGAGGAATGATTCAAGGTTAATGTTTTGTTCGTCTGTCTGGTTGCACGTTCCGTCTGATTTGAACCATAAGCATGAAGGTGACGTGATATAATTAGCGTCGGTCTTAAATAATCGGTTCTTACACGCGTGATTCGACGCTGGTGTTGCGGGCCTAAGAATCGTTGAATGGATGCATTTTTAACACGTCCTCGTGACCTTTCTCTTCGTCAGATGATCAACATAAATTTTTGTTGACAAAATTGTACGAATTGTAGACATGGTGGAGGGGTGATGGGGTGAGTTAACCCAACATCAGGAGTTAAACTTATGATTTGAGGTTGTGAGTTAACTTTTATAGATTTAAATTCGCGGAAGAGTTGTTTAAATCGAATATTTATGTGTACTCATCTGCCCCTTTACCAACAAAATATTGTTTAAACATTTAAATAACCTTCATCACACAAAGAGAGTGTGTATGTTGTACCTCCCCACTTTATAACATAATGCGTTTGACAATTTGCTATCCGTGTTAGATGTAGACATTAATTAGACTTAGTACGGAAAATGGTTCTTGCAAAAACTGTTCTTGCGACGAGTGTCTGCATCATGCCGGATCTATCTGCTGACGACGAGCCTCAAGTCCATGGTGGAAAGTTCTGATTGTACACGTTCATCCCTTCAGAGCATCCCGTTCGTGCAGGAGTCGGCAACCTGCGGATCCAGAGCCACTCGAGGGCTCTATGCAGACTGCTTCTTGACGTATGTTTGTATTTGCATGCATTGCGGCTCTTGAAATATATTGCATTTTCTACCGAATTTGAAAAAAATTTGGATGCCCTTGTTATTTTAGTTGCCGACCGCTGAGGTTAGTGGATCCCTTGAGTGGATCCCTTGAGTGGATCCACTGCTGGATGCTGGGCGTCTCCGTTGCGTGCACCTCCGGTAGGGTCACGTTGCCATGCCTGCCCGCGCTGGGCGCTGCTGCTCGGTGGAGGTGGGGAGCGTCGACGCTCCGCGTGCGGCCGTGCGGCCCCCCGCTGTGCCACACGACCCCCAACACCCTAATGTGCACGGCGGTCGCCCATCGAAGTACTAATCCGGGCTCAACTCTGCTTAGCTTCCGAGATCCGATGGCTCTGGGCACGTTCCGAGTTGCTCCATGGGTGTTGTTCATTGCGTTGCACCAATGGCGCGTTTCAACCATCGTCACAATCCGGGCAGCCCTTGGATCGGTTTGGCCGCTTTCTCCTGGGCCGGTTCCCAAATAGCAACGCAACTTGATTTTAATCTTGGCTTCACACTGAAGCGTCTTGTTCTGTCTGCTGTCACGGTTGTATCGAGTGGCGTCTTAATATTGTACTGGAAGCATTGACGTCGCTGTTGGCGCTCTGCGCTACAGACCTGGCGACCCGAGTTCGATTCCCGCTCACGGCCAACATCAGTGAGGAATATTTTAACTGGTCCTGGGTCTCCCCTAGGTGAACTTGGCCTGTTGCGGTGTGTCAACATCGCCACTGGGAAGACAAAGCTGGCTGGGTGTGTGCCGGCCTTCATTGATGCTGCTCGCTAACAGCACTTGTCCCAACAGTACGTTCAGGCTATACGGAGGTTCTTTCTCTTGTATGTGTGAGCAAGTGACCCTTTGAACTAAACCTTTGTAAAAACAAATATGTGTGTGAGAGGCATTAAGGATGAACTCACTTTGAGCCCACTTGCCCTCGTCCTGCTCGAAACCCTTCTTCAGATGGGTCTGGGTCAGAGCGCCAATGCGGCACTTGTAAGTGTTCTGGCCAGGCAGGGTAAACAGAGGGATGGGGTGGGGGGTTGAGTAATTCTAAGAAACGAAACGATAAAGGTCAAGAGCACAGGGGTCACCAGCGACGATGTCCGCAGGAGCCCAACGTCCATGCCCTCCCTCTCCGCGTCCTCCCTCTCCGCTCCCTCCCTCTCCGCGTCCTCCTGTGTTTGTTCGCCAGACTACAGCTCGGTGTCATCAAATTGCTGCTTTTTAGAGGACTTCGCTGCGTGCAATCCAATTGCTTGTCTGCGAGACCAACTGGGTGCAATCCGATTGCTTGTTCTTCTACTCGGCGAGTCCTGGCCTTAAACGCAATATTAAAAATGTCACTAGCCATGACCGAACCCGATTTTGTCGACCAGAACCCAGTTATGGAACTGCCAGGACGGCTCAGTTGTTGAAGCAGCAGGCTCGTGACCGCTTAATCCAGAGTTTGACCCCTTGTCAGGACCAAATCCATTCCATCAGTCGCTTGCAGTCGGTAAATCGAGTGCCAAGGCAAGAGTGCTCATCTCTGCCATAGGAACGTCGAGTTACCATTGGTAGACTCGTGATTGGCGAGCGTGCTTTATGTCCTTCTGGTGTCATCTTCATAGCTGAGGGTTCACGTCTGTGACATGCTTCAGCTGCGTCGCACGTGCATGAGCGTCCAGGCGTAAGAAATCAATTTTTGATAAGCGATCAGATTCCGTCGTGCTATTGAATAAGTAAAACGTAAAGAGAGGCTCATCTTGTCTGCCGCTTGTACTCTTGGAAAGGACACTATTAAACACACACGACTAACATTTAAAACGCGGTTTTGTACTCGTGTATCCCGATATACTGACTGTATTGACGTGTGTGGCTCTAGGGATGTGTATGTGTAGTGCTTAGTTGGTAATGGATTTATAAAGTTTTGCTATCTCACAATAAAAATGGTTATGTATTATTCATCGGAATGGGCTCTGTGTCTTGCCGGTGCACGTTAGTTCACAGCACGACGACCATGGCATTGATTTGAAGTTTGTCATTCCACTGCTGGATGAAGGCTTCCCTTGGCAGCCCTCGACCATCGCTCGCAGTATTGTAGTGCAACGACCCATCCAGCACTTGCGCACGAGCCAAGTTCACCGTTCCGTCTCTCCGCCAGGCGCCCTTCTGGCGAGTTCCCTCGGGTTGCCGTCAGTCTCGAGCGCTGTCCCTCCCAGCGACGAGCCCACGCGGCGTCTCTGGCACGTGCTGCCCCCTCCATGTGGTGTAAATCCGTCTTGGATGCGGTAGCTACCGCGTCTGAGACAGCCTTTACGAACCCGCCGGTGAAGCCCACGGACACATGAAAGCATTGCATTGTAAAAGCAGAACTTTATTGTCAAAATCACCACGATATGTCATCACCTTAACACGAATCGTAAAACGCCAATAACACGTGATAATAATAGTACTATGGCAGTTGTGATGCTTTGAAACACTGAATGTGGCATTAAAATACAAAAGGGGCCCCGACTGGCACGTGTTGAGCAGCAGCGTGCCATGACACGGCAGGAGAGCCGTGACGTCGGGCATGCAGCCTTGCGACAGCGGCCCACCCTTGCCAACTCGTGTTGCCCGCGCGCGGTGGGGAACGGTGGCGCAGCGGTTTGCACCCTGTGCTATGAACCTGGGGGCCCGAATTAGTTTACCACTTACGGCCACAAACACCAGTGACGATTTTCTGAACCGGTCCTGGGCCACCTCTAGGTCGACTCGGCCTCAAATGTGTAGCTGGTGTAATTTGTTAACATCGCCACTCGGGAGACCAAGGCGGCCAGGCGTAGTGCTGAACTACCGACCCCCGCGTGTGCCGTGCCGGCTTTCAGAAGTGCTCGCTAACAGCACTTGCCCCAAAGCTCCCCCGTAAGGCCACACGGGGGAGCTTTGTCTGTATCATGTGACGTGGTGTCAGGCGATTACGAGACAAGCTGAAGTCAACTCTTTGAAAAAACAAATAGGTGTTTAAAAAAAACACATTCGTCAATAACATTGTGGCCTTAAGAAGAAAAGTATACCACAGAAGACGTTTGGAGAAATGGCCCTTTTGCCCAGGACATAGAGAGGCTGTCACGGTAGAGAGTACTCATCCCACCGACCCGCTTTGTGATTGATTGTGACGCTACAGCGCTGTCACGGATCCTGAAGCATCATTTGGTCATTCAAGCCACGGCATCAGGTGTGTGTGTATTGTTACCAGTCACCGTTCAGTTTTCACTGCGAAATTAGCTTTATAATTCGCGTGCAGCACGAAGCGGAATAGCCCAGGTGAATAACCGGTTGATTGGCGGTCGAGGGAAGGCATTGATGATGACGACTAAAGTCAGCTCCAGCGCCGTTACCGTGGCGAGCCACCACAAGAGGGGCCCCCAACGCACCGCCTGCACGCTTGTCCTGCGCACCGATTCAAAACTCCTCGATCGCATCCACACGTTGCTTTCTCACGGTCCGAAGCACTCGGGGCCGGATCTTGTCCATTTCTATTCTCGGGTCGCCTCCTCTCGGGTCGTCCGTTTGCTGCTGTGCCTTTTTTTCCCCTCTCCGTTAACGTCTCCTCCCAAGGACTTCTCTCGCTGACGGCCGATTGGACGGATCCCGGTGACAGAGTGGCTGCCAAAGGAGGGGGAACGAAGCCCCAAGACGATGCCAACCACCGGCCCGTGCCCGCACCCTAGGATGGAGCGCCGAGATCGGCTCGTGCGCAGGAGACGGACCGTGGTATCGCGGGGACCACGAGGGCCACATCGCCCTCTCCACTCCGTTGTGGCCCAGGCTGGCGTTGAGCAAATAAAGTTTGTTCACAGTGGCGACCATGTGCAGCCTGGCTCTGGGCCCAAGTTGAGTGAGGAAGTTGACTCGGTTAACGTTCACAATGCTCGTTGCTTCCAGCCGTGCGACATAAAGCTCCGTAAACAATCCGGTAAAACACTCAGAACCCTCGCTAGATGCAACACAGAACCCTGGTCTTCGCTACAGCTTATTAATATTTGTTAACTCGGATTATACTGACATATTTGAATCATACAGCATAATCATAACCATACAGATAGCAAGAAAATACCTGGAGACACTGAAGTACACGCTTGCGCTCTGAGCGATTGGGATTTGCTCTTCACTCTTGACAGCAGTGTCCCGATAGCCTCACCCACGTTGTGTGTGTTGGCGCTTGTGAGAGGCGTTGTTTGTGTCATGCCGGGTGTGCAATGACGCGTCGGCTCCAACGCGCACTCGGGTTCCGCAAGGATTTGTTTGCTACCCACACCTCCACTCCCTGCCTTCACAAGCCCCTGCTGGCCAACGTGGTGAAGTACGGTCAAAATAACCACCCTGACCCATACGACATGGCCTCATCCAGCAGTAGACTGTCAAAACGGCTATGATAATCTGATTATTCTAACCCTCCTAATAATATACGATTACAGGTAATATGATTACTCAACGCACCACTCCATGAAAATGAAACAGGATGCAGAGCGGAACGCGTCCGACAGGAGGTTAACCAAGGAGATGGAGCGATGGAATCGGCTTATGCGTGGCTGTGAGTGTGGATCACTGCATCACATGATCGTGATAGCTGTTAGTTGCTTTCAGGGAGCCTCCATCTAACAGTGAATTGATAAAGTTAAACATCATGGGATAAGCACGGTTTATCTATTTGTAAAAATGGTGAAGCAATGTGGTGATGTCGATGATGATGACGGTGAGAACGAAATTACGAAAATAAACCTTTCTGATTTCATCCTTATGCGAGTGACATTGCAAAACGAATGTAAAACTTGTAAATCTCCTGTGCGTTATTTCACAGACGCTGCGTCTGGTTTACGCTTTGGTGGAAGGTCGATGTTCGGCAGAGAAATAGCCCAGAGCAGGAGAGCCACAGTGAAAGTGTGTCCATGATACTGTCACAGCCACGATCACAGGACCACCTCTGAGATCCCCTCCTTCACGTGACTTCCGGCCCACACGGTAGCGGGCAGCACCTTCCCAGCCCTTCTGCCAAATGAGGGTAATGTTTGTGGCGTGACTGGTCAAACCGATATTTTAATTGTCGGAGCTGGAATTCGGCTAAATTAAGTGCAAACCCAAAAGTAACATGGTGGTGTATTTTGTGTCGCCATTGATGGCCGGGCTGAGACCATCACGACTTAAGAGCCCTGGTTTAATATCAACTCAGCCTACGTGAATGTATAGGACTCTGGGAGTCGATGGGTCTCCACATGCAGTCCTCTACTGAAGAGCATCGAATAGTGTTCGTAAGTCGGTATTGGAGTCTAGGTCTCCACCCATCGTTGGTGACCGGGCTTCGACCATCAACTCGCCACCCTTAAGAAACCCGGTTTAACCCCTAGCGGCCAAAACCCAGCTTTAAACCCAGTACCTCGGGGTCACCGGCTCGGCGCCGTGATCTCCGGGCCGCCCAGGCCACGGCCGAGTTACAGCGACGCGAGTCATCGACCGCGCGAGCAAAACCGAACGGATCCCCAACTCGGCAGCGCCCAGCTCCACTAGCACCGAGACGCCGATCCCCCCGCGGCAGCTCCACCGCTCGGGGCCCTCTCACTCCGCCAGCCCAGATCCACCAGCGACCACGGCCACACGGCCTTGGCTCGGGGCGAGCACCCTGGGGTCGCCCGTCCGGCCGGGGTCCGGGCTTGGAGTCGCCGCTCGCCCTCCCAGCTGCTGCTCCTCTTGCACAGCGAGCCCTCCCTTCCCGCCACGATCCACAGCGTCGCTCTCCTGCTCCTCCTCCTGCTGCCACTCCTCCTGCTGCCTCTCCTCCTGCTGCTCCTCCTGCTGCTGTTCCCCCTGCTGCTGTTTCTGCTGCTGCTTCTCCTGCCGCTCCTGCTGCTTCTCCTGACGCTGCTCCTCTCGCTGCCGCTCCTGCTGCTCCTCCTGTTGCTTCTGCTGCTGTGGACGATGGTGCTGATTATGATCTTGCAGACTCAGCTCCTGATGTTGATGTCTTTGGTGTATCTGCTGTTCCTCCTGCACTGGCTGCTGCTGTAGTTGACACTCCTGCTGCTGCTGCTGTGTCAGCAACAGCTGCTGTGTCAGCAACAGCTGCTGCTCTTCCTCTTGCTTCAACTCCAGCTGCTGCTGTTCCTGGAAGGGCTGCTGCTCTGGTTGTTGGTGACACTGTTGTTGCCGCTGCTGCTGCTGCATCAGCGGCAACAACTGCTGCTCCTCCGGCTGCTGCTGCTGCTTGGTGGTGCCACCGGCCACCGTGCCCTTGCCCAGCTCCCTGCGCCGGCGGCACCAGATGCGCAGGCAGCCGTAGAGCAGGAAGGCAGCGATGAGCAGCAACAGCACGCTGCTCGACACCCAGATGGCGATCGCCATCTCCTTCTTCCGGTTGCCCAGGTCCGGGCCGGTCGTGTGGAACGCGACGCAGGCGCCCTGCTCGCCCCCATGCGGCGCTGGCTGCTGCCGCGCCAGATGCGGCTGCTGGGACGACCTCTGCTGCTGATGCTGCTGCTGCGGAGGCGCGAGCAGCAGCGGCGGGACGGGCGCACACGACACGCACGCGATGTAGCCGGTGAGCGGCGTCAGCCCCTCCAGTGCCACGCGGTGGCGGCCCGGCGCGACGCGCTCCTCGCGCTGCAGCCGGCGCGGGGACGTCCCCGCCAGCGGGCGCTCCCAGTCGGGGCGGTGGACGGCGCGGGGAGCCCAGCCCTGCGGGCAGCGCCATGACGGCGACCACCCCACGAAGGCCGCAGTGGCCGACACGTTGCTCGCGTAGAGCTCCATCGCTCCCGGGTGGGCGCTGGGGGACGCTGGTGGACGCCTGCAAGGGAGAGTCGCGGGCTCGGGTTAAGAGGTGTCCGAGCTGTCTCGCTGTCACAGACAATGCATCCAGCGATCTGTTGCCTCCTCGTCATGGCAATCGGATGAAGAGTGCGGCTTGTTGTCCACGCCCTTCTCACAGTGCAAGGCGATCGAACGCAAAGGCGCCGCATTTTATCTGCAGTCAATTACAGGGGTTGGGAATGCGTAGCAATGACCTGGAAACACATGTATGTTGAACTTCTTTCGCACTGTACATAGCCAACCGTGTTAATTGGAGATGCGGGGAAGGATAACAAACTAAACACAAAAGACAGTTCTGAAGAAATTCGTTTTCAATCGAGACTATTTGAAAGTGCACAGAGCTCTCAGCGGCTTCCTAATATCGGAAAAAAGAGCGTTCTGGACGGCCGCAGGAGTCCATCCGAAAGCACGCAATGCCGTGACCGTCTTTGTTCAATGGCCAGCCAGAAGCTGCTGTGAGGATGACCGGAGTGAAGATGGTTTATGCTTCTTGACGAGATCAGCGAGGTATTGTGTTAAATTTGTGGAAAGCACTTTGTGTGTAATGTGTGCAACCTTATAATGTGTTCGTTCGGCAATCAGAAGCCAATGCAGCTCAGCGAGCACTGAACGGACATGGTCGGATCTTGCAGTACCCGTCACGACACGTGCCAGAGAATTCTGTGCACACAGCTTGGTAATGTTTTTGCCAGATGTCCCGTATTGTAGTGAGTTGAAATAATCGAGCCATGTTGATACTATGCTAGACACCGCTGTGTAACGGGTTCCGGAGACACTTGTAGATGTAACTTCTTTATTACAATACAACACTCCAACAGTCCTGATACTCTGTTACAGCCTAGGTACACAGCCTAGCTACGCAGCCTAGATACTCTAGATACTCTACTCTGGCTACGCTCGCCCTCACAAGGTCGTAGCGTCGGGAGTTCCAGAGTCCCAGCGCTGGCTCTCACAGCATCCCAGGGTCTTCAGATGGCTGGTCGTGGGTCTTGCGTCTTGAGTTACAACTGGGCCCCGATCGTCCAGGGAGCTCTCCTTTTATACCTGGTCCGACGAGGGGTGGGGCCGTGTGCGTCACCAGACATCCCACAGAGCACACACAGCCCCCCCCCCCCCGTTGGCGGCGCCAAAAAGGCTTAAGCGCCTGGGAACCCAACGCCTGGCGCCCAAAGGCTTAAAAGCGTCTGGACCCCCTGGGAACCCAGTGCCTGGCGCCCAGAGGCTTACGCGCCTGGACCCACCTGGGAACCCAGAGCCTACAGCAGCCCCTCCCTTCTTATGTCACTACATTACCCCCCTCTACGTAGCCTCCAGCCGACCCGGCTGTCAAAAAAAAAATACAATTGTACAAGAAATTATTTGTTAACCATCAGAATGAGTGTGTGACAATCAAGAAAAAAAAATGAGAAGAAAGCGCCTCTCCCCCTCCTGTGGTCACCGATGCAGAACAACACTGTATAAACACATATATGCAGGATGAACGCACGCCCCAATCGCCCACTATACATGATGGCAAGGTGAGTGGCATCGCGTTGGGACGAGAGTTCGTGGGCGGGGGTCATGAAAATCGTTTGAGTTTTGAGCGAGTCCGAGTGGCAGGTCCATCGGTCGCGACGGAGGCGGGAGGGGACCGACGACCCGCTGTTGCGCTTGTGTCCTGGGTCGCTGATCCCGCGGGCAAGCTTGTTCCCGCTTGGTCGGCCGTGGCGGATTTCATTCCCAAGGCACCTGAGGGCGGGTCAGCGGGACCTGCCCGAGAGTTAGAAGCAGCATCATCGCGGCGCGGCTCGTCAGACATGTCGCGCTCTCGGCCCCGGAGAAGTGAAGGAGGTGTGTAGGGTTGAATGTAAGGTTTTAGACGTGACGGGTGCACGAACCAACGTCGCTTGCCATGCTGGATCCTGACACACTGCGGGCAGAGAACGCGAATAATAACAACCGGGCCTCTCCAAGGCTTAAGCAGTTTTGAGGAAGTAGCCAATGGTACCTGCGGGCAGTGGAGCCAGGCGCGGTCCCCTTCCACCCAAACGTGGCGGGATGTGCGGAGATTCCGCAACCGCTCGTTGGCAAGCTGACGGGCTTCTGAGTTATTTTGAGCAGCCTCCCGGGCATCCATGAGACGACGCACATTAGCACGGACGTGGTCGGCAATCTTAGCCTTAGGTGCGGGCTGTTTAATGTGCAATTGTACGTCGATTGGGGGGCAAACCTCCCTACCATACATAAGATAGAATGGCGAGTACCCCGTGGCAGCATGGGGCGCCATTCTATAGGCGGCCAAGACACCAGGTATGTGGAGATCCCAATCAGTCTGTGACTCAGACACCTGGTGGCTTAGCATGGAGGTAAGTGTCCTATGTAATCGCTCGACCATACCGTCAGTCTGGGGGTGATATGGCGAGGTGCGAATTTTGTGTGTCCCTAGCAGGTTGCACACATCCCGCAACAGCGTGGAAGAGAAATTTTTCCCTTGGTCGGTCAGCAGACGTTCGGGAGCACCCTTGTCCAGGACGTAGCCCTGGAAAAAGGCCTCCGTAATGGCTGCTGCAGACTAGTTGGGGAGTGGCCAGGCCATGGCCCATCGGGTAAAATATTCGACCCCAACCAAAAGGTACTTACTACCCCGAGGAGTAGCGGGAAACGGACCCAAAATATCCAATGCGACGATCTCATTGACCCGGGAAACTTTAATGGATTGGAGCGGCGGGCAGGACGGCCTAGCAGGTGGTTTCCGCCATGCACATTCTGTGCAACCTTGCACAAGGTCAGCCACATCGTTTGCCATGCCCGGCCAGAAAAATTCCAATGGGATTTTAGCTAGTGTTTTCTGAACACCCAAGTGCAAGAGGCGACTGTGGGTTTCCCACACAAGTCGCCCCCGCAGGGAGGTGGGCACCACCAATGTGTGGGATTGGGACCCCCCATCCCAATGCATGAGGACGCCTTCCCGGATGACATATGATACGGGGCCCCCCTGCCCCCTGTGATCCTCGGCATCCCTAGCGCGGCGTCTCAATTTGAGGAGGGAGACGTCTTCCATCTGAAGACGTCCCCAGTCATCCAACCCGAGGCCCAGCAATGCGTCCTGCGGAACTTGCGTGGAGGGAGCCCCGTGGTCCCCGACCCCATCCCCGGCCGCGGCCGCAAGGGATGGGGGCGGTACCCCGTCAGGCTGCCTACAACGCCCCGCACCCAAAAAACAAGCACAGCGCCCATTGTTCGGCAGCCGCGACAACCCGTCGGCGTTCCCGTGTTGAATCCCCTTGCGGTAAATGACAGTGAACGCAAAGTCCTGGAGGATCTCGAGCCAACGCGAGAGCTGTCCAGATGGTTGGTCCACTCGCAAGGCGTATTGTAGCGCCGCATGGTCGGAGCGTACTGTGAAATGCCTGCCATACACGTATGGCCTGTACTGCTTTATGAAAAAAACGATAGCAAGCAATTCGCGGCGCGACACGCAGTAACGTTGCTCCGCGGGCGACAGCACCCTGCTGCCATAGGCGACGACGCGCTCCACTCCATTGACAATTTGCGACAGCACCCCTCCAATTCCGGTGTTGCTGGCGTCTGTATCCAGAATGAACGGAGTGGTAAAATCTGGATAAGACAGGGTAGGAGCATCGACCAGTGCTTTTCGGACGGCATTGAAAGATGCCTGTTCTAACTCTCCCCAGCGGAATTTGACCCCTTTGGCCGTTAATGCGTGGAGGGGCTTCGCGATGGATGCGAATCCCGCAACAAATCGTCGATAATATGAGGCGAAGCCGATAAAACTCCGCACCTCCCCAACAGAGGTAGGAGTTGGCCATGAGCGCCCGCAATTTGTCTTTTCGGGGTCCGTGGCAATTCCCGAGCGGCTGACAATATGGCCCAAATAACGAACCGAATCCCTCATGAGGTGGCACTTTTGCGGTTTGAATTTGAGGTTAGCCGTTCGCATTTTAAGGAAAACTGCCTTCAATCGCGTGAGGTGTTCATCAAAAGTTTTGCTGAACACGATTACATCATCGAGGTAGATTAGGCAAGAATCCCACTGGAGCCCAGCGAGGACCAGCTCCATCAGGCGCTGGAACGTCGCCGGGGCCGAGTGAAGACCCATGGGAAGTCTGTTGAATTGGAACAGTCCCTGCGGCGTGCGAAAGGCCGTCTTTGGTTTGGATGCGTCATCAAGGGGTAGCTGCCAAAACCCCGAGAGGAGATCCAAGGTGGAGAAGTAATGCGCACCTGCTAAGGCATCGAGCGACTCGTCCATCCTGGGAAGCGGGTAGGCGTCGGCCACAGAAATCTTATTAAGTTTCCTGAAGTCAACACAAAAGCGGAGGCTCCCGTCGTGCTTCTTAACAAGAACGATCGGCACCCCCCATGGGCTATTTGATGGCGCAATGACATCGGCCGCCAACATATCGTTGACGGCCACCCGTACATGTTCCTTTTCGGCCGGGCTCAACCGGAATGGGTTTTGACGAATTGGAGCGGCATCACCCGTGTCGATGTGGTGGCTTAGCAATTTAGTGCAGCCAATGTCGAATTTGCTTTGACTGAAAACGTCGGCGAAATCGCTCAGCAGCGTGCGTAATTTAGCATGCTGTAATGGTGACAAATCGGCAGAAGTGGAGCAAAGTGCGTCGAGCCATCCTGTGTCAGGACCTGGCTTGGCAACGGAAGAGAACTCGCCCCCTACGTGACCCACGATCACATTTTCTGGCGGGGCTGGCGTCGCGTGAGCAAGCACCATTCCCTGACAGATAACGGCCGTTTCCAATCCCGCGTTAAGGACCTGGATAAAGGGGTCGTGGTCGCTTCGCACGAGCGTTTGTGCACACACGAGGTCCGGCACCCGCTCAGCTGAACGCGAAGGCCCGATCACAGCACCCCCCATGAACGCGTCGTAATCAAGGGGTTTACGAAACCGGAGGGGAACTAACATCAGAGCCAGGAGGAATGTGAATTGTGCACGCCGCCAACGCCTGCACCGTC